TGACCGCCTCTCGCTATCCTGGGTTGGCAAAAATGTGCGACATCTACTCCATCTAATACTTGCACGTTCAAGACTACAGCGATCTCACGAGCGGCATACCTGCAAGCGTCGAAGATGGTACGGTGTCGTATGGTGCACAGGGCGGCCGTCTGTAGGCGACCTCTTTGCGCGCTGCATGTCCTGACTCTCTTTATGCCGCCCTCAAGAGGCAAGCTCAAGCTAGCCAGCCGGCGGCAACCTCAGTCTTTACTTTTAGCAAGGCTACTTTGACAAGGCAGGCCAGGATGGCCTCATGTGATTCCCAACCAATCGGTGTATAACAGCTCAGTCGTCCCTTCCTTGAACTAAAATTAGGGCGGTAGCAACCGTTCCATGCTGTCGAGTGGCTGGTGCGAAGCCGGAAAACGAGAGTACAGAGCATAAATCAAGCTCGAGTGATGACAAGTTGAATGGACCGCAACACGAATGAACCGCAACACCTTGGGCTCTAGGGTCTAGCCTGTCATCCTCTCAACCTGCGAGGTGAATCCTGTGGGGGAGAGTGTGGGGGCTTTAACAGATCCATGGATGGCAGTGTGACTAGAGTATAGTCTGACCCCTCCCCTATTCGCACTCTTCGGTACTGGACATGACTTCACTGGAAGTCTAAAGGCCACCAGACAGTGGACAATAAAGTCCACTGCTAGTAGTTGTGGTTGTCTGATTGCTCTTTAAGGGTTTTTATCCGATACTGGGCTGTTGATAAATTTCCCATGTTCTTATTCTAGGATGCTTCCTTTGACCAAAGAATTATGTTTGTAAACCATCCTCGAGTTTGTGGTTTGTGCTTGTTGTACCTTCCTGTTCCAGGTTTGGCCTGGTCTCGGCCTTAAGAGTCTCTGCAGCTGAGTACAAACCTCCATCCCTCAGTATGGTGAAAGGCAAAGGACTGGCGATAAGAGATCGATCCATTGTGAAGGCCATACATAATCCAAACTCTCAGGAAAAACACCAAACAGAGGGGGATCAATTGAGGAAAAAGCCTTAAACAGAAAACTAAATAGTATCTAAGCTTGGTCAAGGGAGTCTTCTGGCCATAGGCGCCTTCCCAATAAAAATGACAGATGATGTCCATTTGTCGCCTTTGATGGTGGGGGAGTGTGGGCAGGCAAGGACCCTGGCCTCGATAAGAATCGCTGATAATTCGTGATTAAAGTATTAATTGATATCCGATGATCTGGGCAAGCCCACACAGCCTTAGCCCCAGGTCCTAGGATGAAGGTAAACAAATGTTCCCAAGTATGATACTATCGAATAGGTTTGGTGCGGTGTCTTGGACAACAGTCGCCATCTTTCTTTACCCCCTTCTGGGGATGCCTCCTCGCCGTTTTTCTTTAGGAAAACCTTAGCGGACATGGATGTGGCCGTCGCATCCTTCTCAAGCCTTTCCATATCATTTTCCGGGTATGTACTTTCTTTCGAATTGCAACTCTCACATTCTTGACTCATTCGGTTTCCTCTCCCCTTCCTACCTTGAGGTCAAACTGCGCAATGGCAAGGAGCACGTTCACTCACCACATCAATAATATTGGTCTCTTCTGTCCCAGCAACTGGATCACCAACCTTCTTCACGCGGGCAGCAAAATTCCCCACGTTCTGTGCCAAGACGTTTTGCGTAGAGCGCAAGGGATTACCTACTGAACTGGGAAAGTCCATCAAGCCTAGAATGGAGTCAGAAGCACATCGATGGATCACAGTGCCGAGTAGTATGCGGCGGAGTCCAGCTCAGGCCGCCCCTCCTTCCCTCCATTCTTAGCCCCGAGGTTCAAGGGTCTAGACGGAATTTCCCGCATCACCCGAGGGTTGGATTGGATTCCACGGGCATGTTCCTTGTCCTGCACCGAGGCACCAATGCGGGCTTCAATCTGTCAGTGTGCTGTTGCCCTTATGGAGGAACAACAACATATTTCAAACTATGGGAGACGAGGCCGTAATCCGGATGAGAGAAGATAACAAAACCTCTTCTCTCAATGGCTGGCTGACACATACCTAACTACTGGTAATACCAGTCTCGGCGATCTCGTTTGCTTTGTTGGTATTTCAACCAAAAGCTTGGTGAATCGTGTGTCCTCAACCTGGGGGTGGCGACTGGGACCCCCATCAAAGTCCCAATTCTTCTCCCCACCCGCCGCTTGGTGAGCTGTCGGGTGGGGAAGAGCAACCCAAAAGAAAGAGACTTTCGTTGTTTGTTTGGGACTTGGTTGCCACTAGCTCTCTTTTGAGGGGAAAAAAGGAACGGAAAGAGCAGAAGGGCAAACGGTGCGAGTCGAGGCTACTTGTAAAAGTCAAGGGAGTATTCTAATCCATCCCGGATCTCGCCCATTGGAAGTGACTGGTCAAGAAATCGCTAGGCCCTTCATTGGTTTTTGAGCTTCCTCAAATGCTCCGCCTCGCGTATTCAAGCCTTCTATCGCAGTTGATCTTCACCCGTAGCCTTCTAGATGTCTGCTTGCACTCACACAACGCTCATGGCGATACATGCGATTGAGCCCATCATTAACTATGAGGACTTGTTACTATTATCGCGGCGACCATGACCTCTCGCTGGAGGGTATCGTGATTGCACCGGGTCTTCACATCGACTCACTCTGGCGCCAGGCCAGGACAACCAGACCGTATTGGCCTCTGTGGGCAACCTTGATTGATTTGATTCGCCCTCCTTGCCAGCCGAGGAACAATAGCGCAATCCTCTTAATAAGGCGGATAGGCGGTACGAGAGCAAAATGTAGACTCCTCACCTGAGCCGACTCTTGGGTGAAATGAAAGGCCCCTTTCGTTCGAGACATTTTTGTAGATGCATCTCGATAGGTGAGCTTTAAAAGCAAGCGTCTCTTAAAATCCGAGCGGAGGAAACCGCAGTCGTCGGTCGGTCGGTCGTTGCCCGATGCAAGAGAACCTTGGAGAAAGAACCTTGGAACCTCACCTTTGAACCTTTTTCCCCTCCGAGAAACCTGACGAGCCGTTTCTGAACAACAAGCACCTTCCCTACATGCTCTCTTTCCTGCCCCCTGTCCCCATTTTCTTTCCTGCTTTTTCCTCTCCAGATGTCATCACATTTAAAGAGAAATCAACTCGGCACTTCGCCGAATTGTGGGAGTTGCTTGATACTATTATACCCATGACGAGCACGAAGGCATCAATCACTTCGAGAGACAGCAGCAAGAATCTCCTGTCTCTGTTTGTTGGCCCAGTGGCCATGCCACCTGAGTGTTTGGTGCTTGCGTTGACGGTGGTTTCCATAAATGTCCATGAAAGGAATAGTTCGAAAATGGCTGGGCTGCTTTTCGTAGCGAGATGTATAGTTTGAGAAATGGACAAGATGATGGCGCGTTTATTTGCGGGAAGCTCACTGTATAAAGTGAGGTATGGTACCTTGTGGTACCTTCTCAGTGGGTAGCGCTGCCTCAATTGAGTAGCCCGATGTAACAGGCGTCATCTTTTGGAGACAAGGTACCGGCATCCCAAACTCAGGTACAGAATGTACTTGGTCATTCATCGAACAGCGCCAGAGGTCTTCAAGCCACTTTCGGGAGCGTATGTACTTCTTACCATTGATGCTCGGGAGGATGCACCTTCGAGCCTGGTCGTCTGATGCCTCTGGCTGGCCTTGTCACTTCAAGCAATGTTGTTTTTCCCACTTGGTCCTTGACAGGTTCTCACCTATCCTAACAGGCACGGATCGAGTGACCAGCAGATAGAGAGAGCTAATGCTGAATATAGTGTACGAATGAGTAGAAAGGAATACAGCGATAGAACGACAAGAAGAACATGCATAGTCTTGATTTCGATCAATGCTTGAGCCCAAGACTTTCCGACGGTCCAGCAAAGTTGTCCAGGGCATGTGCTTGTCCGCAACACTCCCGACCCTCTCCGCTGTCTGTGGTTTATTTCCTCTACTAAACACACCCCACCCTTCGAAATGTGAACCTGGCCCCTGTGAGGAGCTTATTGATCTGCCCAGAGGGTGTTGACTTGTTGTGTACGTAGAATTTGTGCTGAACGCACTGGAGCACTGGGGCGCATTCTGACCCAGCTGGGCCACCACAAGCCCACTTACCTCAAGTGCGGTGCTGTACCGAGCCGTATTCCAGTACTCCGTAGAAAGTACTGTGCCTGCAGGAGGGAGGTGGTCAGGTACCCCCATCCTATTTGATCAATCAATTCCTGGGCTGTTCTATTGTGCACTATTATTATTACGGAGTACCTCGTTCACCCTGCTGTCCAAGCCTAGCCAGGTTCCTCGCCCACCCCCTCCCAATGGATCAATGATGCCTCAAGGTCCCGTCAACCACCCACTCGCCTCCCCCAAAGGCTTCTTCCCATGCCACCCCAAGGCCCAGCACAACCTTCGTCCTTTCTCCACCATCACACACCGTTCCCTTCCCCGATCACGACTACCATTCTTCTTCTTCACTTCCTCAAAGTGTTGGTCTTTGCACGCTGAGAGACTTCTTGGGCACAGCTTTCGGATCCCAATCCACTCTTACTGACCTCAATTTGGCCATTACCCAAACACCTAGGCACAAGACCGTAACCACAGCCACCCTCTGCCGACTGCCATTGTTGTGGAGAGGACAAAGGAAGAGAGGGCCTGGGTGGACGATGTGACCTCCCTCCCGACTCTTCCACCCGATTCACTAGAAGGTCCATGATTCTGTCAAGGACTGGAGCTAGATTTTGATCTTCGTCTTGCGTCTTGGAGTGTGAGGTCTCCTTGCCGTCTTGACCCGAACCCACCCTCGACTCTATTCAGCTACACCTCCATCCACAACCTTCACTCTCGTGACGCCACCCCCGACTCGTCTTCGGATTCTCATAACACCTCTACTCTTTCTACGACACCTAGCCTCAACTTCTTTTTCCTTTCTCCGCCCTGAAATTGACGAACAAATTTCTCGCAGCCGAACGCGAGCACCGAACGTCTGACCCCTGACCCGACTTCACCAACCGTATCGATAGCAATGCCTCCCCTGCGAGTGCCCGACGACGGGCTTCTTCTCAGCGGGTCACCAGGGGATGAAAAATCGTTTCCTTCTCAGGCATTCGCCATAACACTCAGCGACGATGTGATCGAGGACTTGGTAAAATGTTTCCAGAATGGCGAGGGCATCCAGCTATCGCTTGGAAGCAGCCCGGTATGTTTACCCCTTCCTGGCTCTGCCTTGGTCCTCGTGTCCGTCCATACTTAGAGACATGATGGATACCCCTTTGCATATCTCTGCAAAGTTTCGTCCGTGGTCATCTCATACTTGAATATTACTTGGGGGACTGCGGTGACCGACCGACGAGGGGTTCCTAGAAACTCAAACACCGTTTTTTTCCCTTTCCCGCCTTCGACCGGTGGTCAAAACAGAGCCCATTCCCCTAGGGGGTACCCGTATCTTTTTGCTAATCTAGCCCTTGTGGTGTTTCTAGGCTCTTCACTTTGGTTCAAGTTCACACACGATACCGTACAATCCTAACAAAGAGGCCCACGATTTCTACCTAACACAACCGTTCTCCGATTCGACGAAACGAGCGAAGAAGGTACCGAATACTATGTCGATATGGTCGAAACCTCAGATCCGAGCACAATCGGCGAAATTACCATCGGCAGCGAAAGCAGACAAGGGATCGGGCGCCACCGGCTTCGCCTCTGACCTGGAGGCCCTTCAGCAATCTCTGGCCCAGGCCGAAGCTTCCAAAACACAGTATGGCTATTCGTGTCGGGGAGAATCTTCGGAGACGGATACTGACGTAGAGAGCAGCGCAATGGTCATCGATGCGATACCCGGGCAAAAGAAGGGCGCCAAAAGTCAAAACTTTTGTCAAGCGTTAGAGCTTCTTCGGCGCCTCGGTCAATGCCGACATCCCCAGCCATTAGTGTAGCTGGTGGATCACCACACCTTGGTCCCGCTCTGTCCGCGTCTCAGCAAGCCATTGAGAGAGCGAAAGAACAGCGTATAACCTTGATTCACGAACTTGCAGCCCAAGACCGACCGGTCGACTACCTTAAGGACAAATGGTCAGGCAAGATAGAAGAGTTCATGCCAACTTTGAAGAAGGTGGCCGATTTTAATGAGACGACGCAAAAGTGGACGATGGGCAAGCCGTACTGGAAAGAGCTGGACGTCTGGAATTATGATTACGACACTCAGGAGGTGAGGCAAAGGCAATTGATAACGCGGTTCGCCAATATGACAAGATGCGGTTATCAACTAGCCAGCCTCAATGGGAGCGTCTTCTTCACAAGGAGGAGCGGGGCAAGGGCAAGTGTCTGAGTAGGTTGCAAGCAAATCTGAACAAGGGACCAGCTACCGCACCGCGCCCGCGGCACCAACTCCTAAGATCAAGGTGCAGAAAGCTGAGGACAGTAACAATGATTCGGGCAAAGACGACAGCACAACAACGGAAGGCAAATCGACACCGATGGTACGGTCGGCATCGAACCCACTTCCACCAAAGAAGAAGATTAGCGAACGGGAGGCTCAGCAAAAGCGCCTTCTCGCTCGCAGGGCAGCTGCTGCATCCAAGGCCACAACTTCGCCTACAAAAGCCAAGACCGGTGCGGCATCAAAGACGGGGGCCGGGTACTGTCGGAGCAATTCGTTATCGACTCAGATTCGGACTCAGAGGACCAGGCACTCGCGGCAAAGTCCAAGGTTGTTGAGCAGGCTAGAGACAAAGAGCGGACTGCCGCTGCAATCGTGGCTGCGGCGCCACCACCTGCACCGGTTCCCATTGCCCCACCTAAACAGAAAGCAGCCGCTAAGCCAACCAAGGTGAGGCCGCCCTCGCGGCCAGCCGTTGCTGCCCCTCCCATTAAAAGACGGCGCGAGGAGGAAGGGGATGCGGACGAGGAGGAAGACATGGACGGGAGCAGCTCTAGCTCGGGCAAGCCTTTGAGCAAGCGAGTCAAGCAGCGGCCTACCAACGTTGCCACACCCTCTGCTTCCCTCAAGCAGCGACCAGCAGAATTGGGTCAAGGGTCGAGAGGTGGAAATTCCTCGTCCAAGAGCAAGAATACCTCGCCGGCGAAATCATCGCCGCTCGCCTCGTCTCCACCCACAAACGCATCTGACCTCGACCAAGCTGAAGCGGAAGTCATCGCAGCGGCACGACCTGCCGCCCAGCCTCGAAAGCGAGTGGGAGGCCGCGACGAGGGAGAGCGAGAGAAACCCAAGGTCAAACGGCAAAGACCGGACGTGCCCACGGATGTCTTCAATAAGGCGCATAAATTCAAAATGTACTATGAAAAGTACCAGGAGCTCCATTGGGAAATCGCTGACCTGGAAGATCCGCCTCGAGAGAAGATTGACAACTTGCTCGATATGCGGCAGCGGTTGCAATCCATGAAGTCGGAAATCTATCGCGAGTGCCCGCCGGGTCGAGCGTAGTTCTCTCCTCAACTACCTTTATGCGCTGCCTTTTTCTTAGGCTAGCTCACCCCCTTTTCCCCTTTTCCTTTTCCTTTCTTCCCTTTTCTTTTGCATTACCAAAGGGCAGCACAGGGGCAATGATGTGATCACTGAACATTAGCATTGAAATGGAGCATAGTAGCGTGGGCCAACTCAAGACACCCACCTCATAGCGTTTATTGTTTTACGGATTCTTTTAGCAATTATATACCAACTTCAATATGAAGATTGATTTTCTCTGGGAAGCCCAAGAGCGTTCTTTTCCTTTTCCCAACATGAATTCTGTAAACTCTGTAGATGTTGAAAAGCTATCCGTCAAGCTGCTCTTCCCACTTCGTATTTTTTTAAGTGGGGTGGAGGGGCCTGATTTCCCCTGGTCTTGAATCTTTCATGTTCAATGTCGTTACAATTTCCGTACAGCAACACTTGCCAGTCTAGCTTGGAACGCCACACGTCAGGCTGAAAATATGAGAGCAATAGACTTGGGCAATGATTAGGTTTCTAGCCAACTGTGGTTCTTTGAGGTAGCCGAACCTTGATACTTCGTACTTGTATTTCCTCAAATCCTTCATATCAGCGGAGCCACACGACCACAATACTCAAGATCAATACTTGAAATAATGTGGGGTTCAACGAGAGGGTGAGGGGTTTCGAGAGGAGTCCCCCCTCCCTCCCATTCTCCCATTTGAGGTGGGCTAGCAATAATACCTCACGTCGATCGATGTGTGGCCACTACTCATGCCATCTGGGGAACGGATCGACGCGACTTGGGTGACGGTACGGGAGATTCAGAACCCGAACAAAAAGCGTGGGAAGCGAGGTTTGGCCCCTTCATGTAGCATGCCGCGCATTATTCATCTAGCTCCCTTGTTCAGGCTTGATCAATTTTGATATTTGTATTTCTTATATCTCCCCTCCTCCCACCGGGGAAAAAAAGAAAAGAAAAAAGGGAATTTGAAAAGAATTATCAAGGAAGCTGATAAGGAAGGTTTGTTGCCAGATAGCTTGAGGTCCTCGTGCCCAGAACGAAAGTAGCCAACCCCACGTTCAAAGAAGTTTCCTGAGTTATTAAAGTCGGTTAAGTATTCCCCAACTTTACCGACCAAGTTGTTCCACCATTGTTCCACTACCCTTATATTACTGGAATATACTTCTAGGAAGGGGAGGATTGATATCTTTCTTTTCTTTTCTTACCATCATTATTATAAAAGTTTTTTTCTTTCATTGCCTCTTTGCTTTTGCCTCCTGATCAATTTTGCATACGGCATAGAATCGCTGGCTGATCTGTACCCTGTCACCTGCGGACAGGGAAGGGGAAAAAAGTTATTTTTCAAGACAAGCTCAGCCTAGTCTGGAAAACCGGGGTGACGAGCCGCTTGCCAACCGAGTGCTTTGCACAGGGGTGGAAAGGTTTACCGGCGTATGTAAGCAAAAGCAGTTGATCTTTCCCTTTCGGTCAGAGAGGGGTGTAGTAATGCAAACGGCAACCGTACACAGTGTACACTACGAGCTACTTGTACAATTCTTGAATGGCAAAATGGATGGAACGACAAGGAGATGGATCTGGATTGACTAGTATTGTTCACCCACTCGTCAACTCGTCAGAGGGCTCATTCTGCCCCACCGTTGTTTCGACAAGTGTCATCTCATCCTGAAAGAGAGGACAAGAAGGGCAGCAGAGGAAAAATAGAGACAGGTTGAGGGGAAAGAGTAAATGCAAAAGGGACAAATAGAGAGAAACCTTCTAATTCTCGTGAGGACGGGCCGGCATTGCCAGGTGTGAGCGATATTCGCTGATTAAAATTTCGGAGACGCATCCGGGCCTTGAGCCCCACTCTCTCAGCGGCATCGACGGATCCACGGGCATGTGCCACGCCACACTCTACTCGGTACGGGTTTCACGTTGGGTAAATTAAGGCACGCCGATGAGGGAGCGGGCTGGCGCGATTAGCAGGGTCGGGAGAGTTTGCGGAAATATAGCACCGTTGGCTGGGTATCCTATCGTTTTGTTGTTTTCTCCGGCCTACCGACGGTCTCCCGCGTGACTAAAACTTTCGTCCATGGATCCAGCACATGGCTGAGGAAAGCTGGGATGCAAAACTGAATCTGATGCGGCCCAACTTCCACATCTAGGAAGCAATAACAAATTGGGAGATGCTTGTGTACGATAGAGAAATGGGCGGGAAACTTTAGCGACCTTTGCGCGTACACGAGCGCTCCATTTCTCCTGTACTAAAGATCAATATCAATTCCACCCTGAGCCGACCGATCAACCACGGTATGCGTTCAGCTTCGAAGGGCAAGGCCTAACCTGCTATCGGAATTACGATAAGAAGGTAAAAAGCGCCAATCTGCAGTCATTATTGCACCTGATAGGCTTCGCCTAGGCTCTAGCAGGATTCCCGTCATCACATGCAACCTTGCTGCCCGTGCTGGTGCCCGGCCATTGTCGCACTCGTGCGAGACTGGCTTTACTTGGGACGGAAGAGTAGTGACAACAGCTCTGAATCCCGTCGTGGTCTCTGACACAAGCAAACTAAAGCGTGCAAAATGTGCGTCGTTGCCGACATAGCCATTGTCAGACCGATGAGCTAATCGTCTAGCTTTCTTCGACATCAAAATAAAACGGCCTTCACTCGCCACTAGTCATCATAGGCTCAAAGCTTCCATCACAGCGGCTGGGGAGCTCCTGGGTGTTCGCTAGCGCCAGCGGTGGGGCACTCTCCTGGGGCCAAACAGGACCGGGCCTTGACTGCTGGCGTCCGTTCAACAACATTGATCCAAGTGCCGATCGGGTCCGGCGATCTTTGCTTTCTTCGCTCCCCTGATCGTCAGGGACGAAATTTCTCTTCGATTTTTGGGTTTCTTGGGTTCTTATTGCTATTATTGTTGTTCTATTTTTGCTGCCCTGTATTGGCCTAAATTTTTGATGGAACACTCACAACGTTTCTTCTTCTCTCTCAAAGCAATGACAAACGTGACAAAAGGTCAACATAATTGAAGACTACAGTACATGTAAAGAGGAGTTTGCTTATATGAAGAAGAGCAAAGCCCCAACAGAGGTTGTGCAGTCTTTTCTTTTATTCCCCACCCTCTCATCCTTCCAGTACTAAAGGATAGGTTGGCTTCCTAATAGTGCTGGCCCCCTATTCCTAGAAGATGTGTATAGAAATCTTATATGTAATGTCTGACTATAGCTTGATCTGATAACCTACTCATATAACCAGGACGATGTATGTTTGATTATATCCGTTTCTACTTGACCTTAGAGGACAGACAAAATGCCACCTGGTATAAAGCTTGCAGTTGAGTTTCTAGGATTAAGGCCCTCAACATCTTGTCTCCTATCAAGATGGTTTGCTATGCTTATGCATACTTGGGTATGTATGCCACTTACTTTGGTCTATTAAAGACATTAAGGTGGAGTTGAATCGGCATGTTTGCCTATATCATAGGTATGGCCTTCGGGCTTGAGCCTAAGACAAGCCAAAATGTGCATATAGAGGGAATGGACAATGGGGCTGCCTTTTCTTAGAGTCTCCTATGACCGTCTTTATAAAAATATCCCCATAAACGTAGGTATTAAGAAATACCAGACCCCTCTGCTCGGTGGAGCAAGAAAGGTCCTGAGATATAGCAAAGCTACACGCGTCGACATAGTAGCCCCAACCATTATCAGCAGCCGTCTCCTTCTACGTTTATGATCGCACATCGATCCGAAGGTCGGCACAACTGAGTAGAACGCGGGATCAACATGTCTAGGCCTCGCAGAGGTCCAGAGAAACAACCGAAACCCGATCACCCGACCACCCGTGTAGACTGGGAGCCGGCAGGCATCATCGGAAGCGCCGCAGCCCTAGCCGGCGGTGCACATCCCCACCGAAATTACACCGGGGCCTCCTATATTGGTCCCTTCTATATCGCACAGGACCCTTCGGGCTTGAACCCCTTCGATTGCGCTAGAAAGCACACCACGCGGCCGAACCTTCACATACCAGACGGCCGCGCGCGTAGGTCGGCGCAGACCCAGGGACGAAGCCTCTCGCCAGCAATGGAGGGCACCCACGGTAGAGCAGATGATGTTTGCGGCCTTTCCTTCCATTCGCAACCGTCTGGAGCTTTCAACACAGCCGACGCGGTCAAGGAGACCAAGCGCCGGCTAGCTCGCCTGCTACGTCAGATTGATGAGGCGCACGAGGTTTATAGCAACCAGCTATCCGAGTACGCGGCGGCGGTGGAATCCATCCGTGACCTTTCAGACCGTGACGCACTGGACCGGATGTGGCAGAAGAAGGTGAGTAAGGCCTGCAGCGTCGACGACAGGGTTGATGAGCAATTCACGGCTATCCCCGGCAGCTCGAGAAACAGAACGACGAGTTGAAACGGGCGAGCGCCACCCTTCAACTGAGTGGGGACTATGCCACACGACACTTCAAGGTCCTTGTTGAGAGCGTGGGCCTGGCTGTCGTGGAGGCGGCGGATGCGGCTCGTCACGCTCGTGTTAGCTTTGGAGCCTGCAAAGCAGCCCTGAAGATGCTCGATTATGCAAAGACTTTGTTGGAGAAAGAACTCGCTAGCGAGGATGCCAATGATCCGGGAATAGGTTCAGGCGACACACATGCGGAGTTGTGAGTTATCAGGTACCAACTCGCACCCATGTAATCGAGCAGTCTGCCCGTTCACTTCATTATCACGTGGGGATTCGCTTGGGAAAGGCATCTCAGTTAAACAGAATCGCATTAAGCCTACTTATGATATACTGTAAAGAGAAGGTGCATGTGCGCGTTTGCCTGAGAGAGGAGATGGAAGCATCATTCCCTCGAGAAGTACGTTATCTCTGTAGCCAAACTGGCTGTCGAGAGACTTTGAGGCTCCATACATCCCCAACCCGGCTTCGAAGCCCATTTTTCTTTGAACGGCCTGCGAGGCAGATACGCCTATCTTCACCGGCTTGGTGGACTGCCATGGAGGCCTTGTAGTGTCGGAAGGTGCGGCTCTGAGTTTGCCTTGGAGATTTCAAGTTTCCAGGCGACACCACGAGGAGGTCCAGAGTCCGGCTTTGTCGCCCGAAAGAGAAAAAAGGTGAAGCATCGTCCTCAACAGAATAATCGGAATCGAATTGTACCAGACCCCTCGCCTTGCCGGAAACCCGGCAGTTGAGGGGCTTAAGCCCGGCACGCTGCGTATCGCACTCCAGTGTTTTCAAACACAATCTTCGCAACGGCCCTCCCATAGGGATAAAAAAGTGGACGGGAAGTAGAGAGTGAAACCCCCGGAGGAAATTCCACCTCTTCAACCCGCCACCTCCCTGCTTTTCTGATGCCAATTGCAGACGCAAAGTTACGCCAGGCCCTCGCGGGCAGACCCGCGGCAGCAACGCCCCCGCGAAGAGGACGAAGCCGACTGTGCGGGCGGGTTAGGTGAAGAGATTACTCCGAATTTCTCATATGCTTTGTTGGGTCGGAATTCAAATCCTCGCGGACGAGAATACATGGACCCAAGAGAGAGGCGGACCTCTCTCTGTTTGTAGCATAGAAACGCAGCGTTGAAAAGGACGATGCTCCACGAGAGAGAAAAAGAAGAAGTAAAGATTGCTAGGCAGGCGATGTTGGGCCACAGAAAAACTTTATAGGGCAGTACTGGGGCGGTGAGTCAGGAGCTCGTCAGCCTTGCAGTGGGGCAACCAATGAATTGTCGCCTAGCTTGGCTGGGTTCTTAAGCCCACTGAAGCAGGTGGCGCCTTCCCTGTCCCGCATTTTGGTGCCCCTCATCTGGACGAGAACAAGTTCCTTTGTCATCAGTCAATAACTTTGATCAATGTAGGCCGCATCAGGATGCGATGATGGTTCGGTCTTTCGATGCAAGCAATGAGAAGTTACCTCGATTTAGTCTACCGAGCTTGATGCTCTCTGAGGACACGCCAATTCTATGCTAATCCTGCGAGCATGACAGCCTACTGGCTATTTAGGTGTGGTGATGGCATGGCTATATGCTGGCCTGCCCAACCAGGGCAGCCACCGTCTTAGTTGGAAAAACTTCAAACACCCCACCAGAACGTAGATAGTAATTCCACATGGTAATGATCAAGAAGGTAAACCCACCTCACCAAGATGTCGGCCCCATAGTAACCGCCCTCATTCTTGAGAGCTAAGTGTTGCGTATACACCTCGTGATGCATTAGAAGATATTGCCTTTGCTGATTTTTCCGATATAAATCTTGAGGTGAGGGAGGAGGGCACCGTTCCTCCTGCAAGCAGCTGATTCTCTGAAGAACGCGCGCGCGTTTAGGCGCATCAGGAGCGAGTAGCTTACTATCCATAATAATGACTTCTGTCCTCGACTTCCCCCAGCTCTGGCAGAAGCCTTCTTTCCAAAGTCTGGTCGCTTGCCTTGACGCCCTTGAGATCAAGCCCCCATCTGGAACAATGCCCGCGCCCAGGACAACAGCGCCGCCGAGCAAGAGGCTCATTTCTCTCACCGGCGCGAGGTAGCCATCTACCTCTCCGCCATGATAAAGAGTAGTCTAGCCTGGCTCTCCAGCGACGAAGAGAGGGAGGCCATCTGGGACCTGGCGAGCAAGCGCATTTCAGAACGTTCCGGGCGACAGGGTGCGTTTTTCTTCCCCCTTCCCCGTAGCAAGGGCATCCCTTTCACTGACAAGCCACTGCTACAGCTATGGGCGAAATCACCCGCCGGTGGCCCTTCACCATTAGCACGAAGCCTTCGTTTGAGCTCGTCATCAAGGAGCCCGCCCTCACGGGCGACTCCATCGGCTTCAAAACCTGGGGATCCTCCTACCTCCTCGCCCTCCAGCTCGAGTCCCTTGCATCCACCCACCTCTCCCACCTTCTTAACCGAACTCTTAGTCGTCCCAAGCCCGCCGTGCTCGAGCTTGGCTCCGGAACGGGCCTCCTCGGCCTCGCCGCCGCCGCCGTTTGGGGTACTCGGGTCCTTTTGAGTGACCTGCCCAACATAGTGCCCAATCTCGCTGTAAATGCCGACGCCAACGCCGCGACCCTCGATGGCTTGGGAGGGTCCGCTGAGGTGGGGGCGCTCACCTGGGGTGGGACTGAGGATGAGGTTGATCAGCGACTTTTCGGAACACCCAACCAGTTTAAGGTGTGCATCTTTTCCCCTCACATTACCCCTTCATCTCCTTCCTCCCCTTCACTTCTGTCCAAGTTTCAAAATCGAGTATTACTGACCGTGGCACTTCAATGTGGGCCAGATCGTCCTCGTAGCAGATCCCCTCTACGACGATATCCACCCTAGGCTCCTGCAAGGCGCTATCATGAACCAGCTTGCCCTTGGTGGCGACGCTCGCGCCATTGTCATGGTGCCTAAGCGCGACCAGACCACAATAGGCCTACTGGAAAACTTCAAGACTTTTATGATACAGGGAGAGGGCGCCCTGGATTGTCTTGAGCAGGGTGAGATTGGCGGCCAGGATGACTGGGAGGTCAACGATGATGAGGACATCAAATGTTGGTGGGGAATATTCGCACGTCGGTAGATGCCTATCCATAGATTAACACGTTAATGAGAGTCATGATCTTACGATGTTCGATATGGAGGTGCGCTAGCACTAGAGCACACTCTCCGAGGCGGGCATTGCACGACAAGATATGGTCACGTCGGCCGAAGGCTAGGCGGGCGTCCCGAATGAAGTTGGGTTGTTCAGCGAAAATACTCATCTACTATTGGCATACGACCTCAACTACAGATGTCTTGGTATCTGGCATTCCAAGCAATTCCCAACCTAAAACGGAAACATGACCACCGTGCCGTCCAGCGCCCTCCCTTGATACTAGCAAACAAGACGTGGGGAACGTAGAAATGTAGGAACTACATCGCTTTCTCTAGAACTCTCCGCTAAACAGAAAAGAAATAAGATGAAGGGGGCCATAGGGAATGTGAAACAGTCAAAAGTAGGCAAGAAAGATCCCTAGAGGTACATAAATCTGGTTCTTTTTTTCTTCTTTTTTAGGAGGACGATATTCCCATCTCACAACCTTCCTTTGCGGCATAGTCTTTGCGAGATATTCAAGGGGAGAAGGTGGCATGGGCGAGCCGGATAACCAAGGTAAAGGAAAAGACGAAAGTTATGAGATATATGGAACGGAGTAATAATAAAAAATAGCAATAGCTGAAGCGAAAGTTGCATCCTGAATATGGGTATCGGTGCGGACGAAGAAAAAGAATATGTAGAGGCGAAGATAGAAATCAGGGGTTGGTTTGCGGTCATGAAAAGTATATGGACGAAAGCCCCCATTGGTGGAGTTCGGTGTGGCCGGTGTTCTATGAATAAAGGGCGGTGTAAGGTCATGAAGTAAGAAGTGGTGACGGCAGTAGACACCAAGAATCAACTATGCGTGTATCAGGGCCTGGCCGGGAGGCCGGGTTCGCAGATGCCGGTGAACGATGAGATGATGCCAGGCTCATCTATACCACGATACTGACATTCTTTCTCGACTCAGCCTCATCAACAGCGAAGTTGAAGACGAGTCGGAAGAGTTCTCGCAGGAATGTGTACTGGCTCGACCGGTGCATCATGTATAAGATCGCCTTGGCGACTTCGAAAGCCGTGGCACGCCGGCCCCGTGGGGCAGCGTGGGATACCTTGGAAGTACGGGGTCGGTGAGGATAAGAGATTTGTAGCTTTGGAGCAGGGTCGCATGCGACGGCAAGGATCCAAAAGAGCCTACTGGCAGTTGCTTCACAAAGGCCTGGAGCGATGCCATGGACGACTTGTTGTCGCCAGCCGTTGAGTCTCTCTCATAGCCGATAATCATTGCAGCTTTGAGGATCAAGATCTTGACCCTGGTGATGTTGCTATCTTCCGCAGTCGCCGTGGTGGCGGTGCTAGAGGTCTTTGCACTGTTATGGGAGTAGCCGGAGAGGTTAGAGGCATTACTAGACCATCGGCCGCCGCGACTGCTGTCCGAAGCCGTTCCGAGGACTAGGATGTTTGCCTGTGCGGGGATTCGCTCTCAGGCGATAGTGGCGTGTCTTCGAACTCAGTCACCGGAGTTTCAGGGACGATGACTCGCCTTTGTCGCTCCTCATGTGCCTTGTGGGACTGGGCCTTGCTGAGGGATGACCGGGTCGATGCGCGGCTTTCTCGGCCGCTCGGTTCATAGTGGCCAAAGAAACTTGCCTGTGAGGCGCGCGGCGTATTTCTCTCAGGCCGGACAGACGTGCAACCTTCTCTGAAGATGTCACAGAGCTCCCAGCAAGCCTGTACTGCGGACCCGAGGAGCTCTTCACTAGCAGGCTGCCCACCGCGCCTATTTTGCCGTAGGCTGAAAAGCATCTCGGCAAGAGTCCAACAGGCTCGGAGAAGTGAGTCGGTTTCTTCCTCCAGCTCGCCTCTTTGCTTCATCAGGCGGTGGCACAGGGTAATATAAAGTCCAACGTACGCTCCCGGAAAGCTTCTGGAAGGGTACGAACGTCCTGGGCGCTGTAGAGACTGTGTGAAGGGGATAGCAAGGTTAGCAAGCTTGAGCATCATGGCTGGTTGCTAAACGGGCACGGGGCACACGTAGGCTGAAAATAAAAATGAAGAGGTTCGACTTACTGGTTATTGAGTTCAAAGCTCACCCGGAGAATGGAATCAGTGACCTCATCCTGTCGCTGTCGGATATCGAAGAGGGACTGGCAAAAGTCGCGGCATAAGTCGAGGTTCATACGCTGAACCGAGAGAGGTTCTTCGGTTTTGTCTTTATTATCGTAAAGCCTCTGGCAGAGTCTCCAGCAAGACTTCCAGGCCCTCTCGTGCGCATCGGGGGTTCCCGAGCTGTTAAAAAGTCGGGCACGGTGAATGGAACTAAGGTTGGCGAGGGTGTTGCAGAGGGTCCAACACTCCTGTAATGCGGTTCGGAGCGCAGCGATCTCGGATGAGAAATCAGGCGACCGCCCGTCAAACGAGTCCCTCGAGGTATATGGAGCATCTGCATCTGTTTCATCGAGATCGTGGTCGCCTTCACCGAGCTCGTCGATTTCTAAAACCCAAGTTAGGTTCCAAAGGGCTCTGGGATGGGGGTAACATGATAACGCACTCCCAAGGCTGCTAGTGCTACTGGACCGTAGCCGGCTCGGATCACTAAAAGCATCCTTTAGATTCTGCGCCTGGGGGTTGAGGTCTCGCCACCGAATCTCGTCCGTTGAACGTTGGTCAAGATCTGGGGAGGGGTTCGATGTTCCTGCGGCACCTGAACACAGTTCTTAGTCTCTTAAAACTCCATCAGTGGCTAGAGAGAGTGAATTATATACCTGTACGCTATCGTGGAAGTCTTCAGTGCTCGCCATGCTGTCGGTGTCTCGTGCTAGGCTCCGCTCGCTCATCTGGTCCGGCTTCGCGGTGGGCTCGGTTGAGGCCTAATGTGGATGCGAGTTAGACTACCATCTCTATTAAGCTGGGAGGGAACGACGGATGGGGCTTACCCAGCTATGGAAGCTCTCGGGAGCGTGAATCACGGAGACAGACTCTTCGCTGACGCTCCGTCGGATTTGCTCCGGGATGTTCGTCTTGAGCATCAATAGCTGTGGATACGTTGTTAGCCTTCGAGATTCGGCCCAATGGAAGGTGTCGTCATCATATATTGATGGCTAGAGGTCTCACCTGTGGCGCTGGGGGAGGTGGATGGATAACGTCCTCTGACTCCTCGTCTTCGATCTCGGTCGTCTCGGTTCCGTTCGAGGTCACAGGGGAAGGCCCAACAAGATCGCTGGGGCTAACGAGACTAAGACTTGCGGACACCCTTTGCACGCTGCTGGGGCGGAGATGGGGATCGGGGGTGGAGGATGACCTAACAAATAGACGGTTAGCGGTGCAAGAGATCAAAGGGGATGATGGGCCTTGTCGATGAATTGGGTTTTATAAGACCTAGAAACTAGGCTCGAAGAGCGGAGCTACTTACATTTCGCCTAGCGAGGCAAAGCCGGATGGGAGACTTGCAGACGAGGATCTCAACGGGGCTTCGAGAGCCATCATGGCTTAGACAGAATATCGCGAGGTGCAGCGACGGGCCGGCGGAGTAAATACGGTCGCTCCTGGCCGGAGAAAAAGGTCGTTCAACAGCTGGGTTGGCTAGCTAAGTAAAGGGGGTGGGGGCCTCGGCGAGGCACTGGAAAGCGGTCTCCAAGACGGCCGGACTGTATGGGGTAGCCACTTGACGGCGTGGGAGCAAGGTTCGGTGGGTGCCAAATAGCTTAAGCGCGGAGGCTCTGAGCCTCCAGCCACGCGCCGGCCTGGAAATGCTAGCGTAGGAGAGCTTTGAGTCCAGAATCAAGAGCCGTGGGCGGAAAGATGCTCGTAACCGGGAGAGGTGCACTGGGCCTTTTGCGATCAAGGTTTGGGCCGGTACACTTTCAATTGGCAGGAAGGGATCGGAACCTAGTTTGCGACAACCTGCGGAGATGGGTGAGACAAGAGGGCCATGTAAGTAAAGCAACTCGATACAATTGCGCTGGTATTGAACGAGCTCTTTTGGAAGCGAGAAGCGGTCGCCAACTTGACGGTGACGGAATTCGAGGGAGAGCGAGGAGTTGAAGGGAAGGACGAGCGAGGGTCCCAACGGGAGGCGGGGGCGTCGCGTCCTCCTAAGGGAGGAAATAAGGGCACAGGAAGGGGAAATGTAGCGCCGCCGCAGTGAAGGTCCAAGAAGCGGAAGAAGGAGGAGGAGGAGAGGAAAAGGCAAAAGAAAAAAGGTAGAAGAACAAAGTCGGGAAGAAAATGCTCTTGGATGAGAGATGTGTTACGCACGGTCGAATCGAAAGAACCGGGAAGGGAAGAGAAAAAAAAGTGTTGGTTAGGAAGCCGGATCCTAGCTATTGATCGTGGTGCAAGAGGAGCTCGACGGGCAAGCCGCCAGATAATAAGGTAATCCAACCACACAAGGACCTTGCCGAGCCCATGCAGATGGAACGGCGTGGAGGCCAGGGCAAGGGTGAGGGTGCTCGAGGTGAGCACCAGCTCTAACACTAATGTTCAAGGAGGGGGTAGTCCACTGCACCATCTCCACCATGGGAATGGACACCTGCCGCCTGAACAAAAGGGACACCAACTCGGATCAATTGAACATGGATAATGCAAGTGATTGATTCTTATCCGGTACCTCGCTTTTTCTTCTTCTCTTTTCTCCCCACCCTTCCTTCCTTCCCTTTTTCGTTTTCCTACGTTTTCCTCTAATGAAAAGAAAAAGAAATGGAAAAGAAAAAGAAATGGAAAAGAAACCGGAAAACTAGGTCCTTTCATAAACTACATGTAGTTGTTGTTTAGGACTCCCAATTCAGGAAATGTGATGAAGCTGGCACTGTTTATCTACTGTGGCTGGTCAGCTGCCGGGAAAGGCAAGTGCACAGGTTTGTTTCCAGAAGGGAGGGGCTGTCGAGGGAGATGCGCACTGTCGCATTGTACCAACCAGAGGGAATGATGTACCGTACCACTTCTAGGCCAAGGACTAACTATCAATCCAACCCCATTTCCTCTTCGAATCCCTCACATAATACTCCACAGATTCCTGACAAGGGGAGTGGAGCGGCGTTGGCTCATCTGAGTGCAGTCCTGCCCTGCAGGAGGGAGCGGAAGGATCGCTGACGCAGGCAGGCAGCAGGTCGGTCCTCTCTCTTTGCTTAGATGGCTGGATTTCAAGTTACATGCGCCGTTCACGATACTTCTACTACCCGTGAAGCATGCAAATTCACCTGCGAACCAAGAGCAGAAGGGTCGAGGAGTCGCTCTTCGTTCCGAGCCAGCAAAGGGGTATTTCAGAGTTCCATAATCACGCCTGTCTGGCGCATCAATCCCGTCTACCGCTTCTTAGAATGAGGAAGAAAAGAAAAGGAAGGGCAAATTTTCTTCATCAAGAGGGGAGCCCAGGCTGCGGTTGCGAAATGTGCATTCCCGTAAGCCTCAGTATGATTGAGCTGGACTCACTTGCAGTAGCTCGGTCAATTTTTCTGTCAGAGTGGCGGAAGAGAGGCGCCTTTCACCAATCCCCCTCTCACCCGTTCAGGAATTGAGGTTGTCTCAAGCTGACAGTGGTGTTGCACAGAGGACTGATTGGCATGGAGCAAACCCCGCGTGGGACAGACAACGGCTCTGTCAAGAAGCAACGGATATGCCAGGTTCAGCAATTCATGGTATTGTTTACAAAATCCATGAGAAATCGCTCCTCTCCAGTCCAACTTCACAATCACATTATTGCAAAACAGATGAATAACCCATTTTGCAGTCCGGAGGGAGAAACAGACTGATCTGTGGAAACATCCCCGCCCCTTCCTTCGTTTCCTCTTGATCCAAGCGTTGGTGTTCATGGTTGGGCCCACTTGCCCACCAAGGATTTTCTGGACTCGTCAAGGGTGATGGCGCTGGCGTGAAAAGCAACTAGCTCTTCTGCACCTGCGCGTCTTTTTCTCTCGTTGAACAACCATTTGGGCCGTGGACCAGTCAGGAAGGAGAAAAGTGCCATGGGTGGGCATGTTGCATGTTGCGTCGGCGCTTAAGATGCAGAGGATACTTACCAAAAGGAGCAATCCACAGGGGCGGGAAGAAGTGGCGACGAGGCATGCCCCCAGAGGAGTGACGGCTGCTTCCAACACAGTCAAGGGCAAATAACACAAAAGTTATTATTCAATTGAGAGGGGAAAAGTGGTGGGGGAAGTGAAGAGGAGGCATGGGAGACGATACCGGATAAGACGAAGAGCGGCTTCACCATTGATGGTTGTAGGATCACACGGGTGGGCGGCGTGGGAAGAATATCGGTGACATCCATTGGATCCATTTGTTCAATGTTGTCTTTCGTGATGGGGAGTTTGGCTTCGATCAATTCGTTGACCGGATTAACTTTTGCCCCGCTCCCAGGGAACGCCCCCACCACAGATCACTTTCCGACTGAACAAGCAATCTGATATTAGTGGCAGAGGGAAAGACTCCGCTCGAGGGCGGGTAGACGAGCACGGAACCACGCCGGTGGGGCTGGAGGAGGGCACTGATCGTCATCGATCACGGCTCATCAGCCAGCGCACTGGTCCCCTGTGGACGATGAGCGGTGCCCCCGTGCTTGGCTTGGGAAGGAATCAAGAGAGGGAGGGGGCGGCGGGGAGGGAACGACGCCCAAACCGGATATCGACCACGAACCAAGACAAGGATTGCCATCCCTGTTTAACCCAAAATGACCTAGCCCATCCCAAGTGTGTGGAAATGAAGCCTATAACCCCGTGTAACGGGGTGGAACAGGGAGCCAAAAGCAACCGATATCTAGCGAAATATCCATCACCCACATTAATTAGCCGACCTATGATAGTTCCCATCCTAGGTCCTCGGCCGCGAGATGGCTGGGCTGGCTGCGTTCCTCAACGTTCTTCCCGGTACCAATTGGACACCAATTACCTGGCAAGATATAAGAAAGCAACCAGAAAAGAAAAAGCACCCAGGAAATTCCAATGACAAGAGAAGAAGAGTAGGCTGAGGAAGCCATGCGCGGAATGGCGGCCACCTCGGCCACCTCCAGATGATGGCTTCGCCCCCAAAAGCTCAAAGCCAAGGGGTGGGCGGACATCTAATCAGGAAGTAGAGCTGCTAGATCGTAACTGGCGAACTAAGCATTGGAAGCTGTCGGGGGCGAGAGCTGGCTCGCTCACTATGCTCCTTGCATCAAAATGCCGCGCCACGATTGATTCCGGGTCTGTGGTCCTGGTGGTCGCAGCAATTGGCCTCAGGGATCATTCCCAGAGGAAGAGATGGAATCTGGAATGGGATCTGCGGACCGAACAGGAACGAGGATGGACCAGAGCCATCAAAACGCAGCCTGGCGGCTAGTGGCCTCTTCGATGGATTCATATCCTTGTAGGCTGAGCATCTGACTCTTCTCTCGAGCCCGCCCAACGACGGCACCAAATTGTCGGCAGGAGTACTTGACACCCTAGCGTCGTGTAGATAACTGCCATACTCCGTTGACATGGATTAAATGGGCGCCTCCGGAAGTTGTGGAGGGCACACCCGTGCTCTCTTTTTCGTTCCCCTTGCTCTCTTTCATCCTCTTTTGTCCTTTTTCTTTTTTTTTTTTTTTTCTTTCAAGGACCAAACCCCAGAAGTAGTTTTTCTTGCCCCCACCTTCCACCCTTCACTTTACCGAGGTATATTACGAGTTGTTTGTAATTTCCTCAGCCGCAAGGAGTAGGAGCAGCCTTCCGTCTCCGGCCTGCCGATCACGCCTCAAGGAACCTCGTCTTGAGGGCCTTGGTATTTGGATTGGGCTTGCTTCTAAAGTCCAGCGTGGCGTCCCCGGCATGAGCAACCAGCGGTGTTTAGCTGCAAGCTGTAGTGCAACCCATCTAGACGGCGGGGCTCGCAGACAAGGGCGGTTCGGCTGCATATCTGCAGTACTTGTGTTGGTCATTCGGCCTTCGTTTAGCGCGACAAAGCAAAAGGAACTTTCCTGTCGTAGTTGACTCAAACGGGCAAGCAGGCTTGTTGGCAAACGGAGCCTCTCGAGGGCGAGCGGAAGAGTTGCGCAGGATGTCGGGAAACGCGCATGTTAGCCAACGGCGAGTTTTCTTTACTAATTTCTAGCGCTGCGGAATACCTTTGTTGTATGTGGACAGACTGGCGCGATCAATGAGCCCACAAGGACAGGCCGGTCAATAGTGTCCTCCTAGGTCCAATTTCCACACCACCGCTCCCCAGTATCCTCGGTGGCTTCGGCAGCGGCCGTCCGGCGCAGGTGAATACAAAAAGCGGTGGTCTTCTGAGAAAGGGGGCTAAGCGAGTGACGACGTGCTTGGTGACATCAAGTCGTCCAAAGTTGAACGGGCATTGATCTATTATGCTTGTGCGAGTCCTCGCGTGGGGCCGCGCTCTCGTTAACCGCGGAAAAGCAAATTACACGCCGACAGAAGGACAAGATCTATCGACGTTACATCCTTCTACATACAGAGAGTGTCACACATCGTTGCTCTCCTCACCACAAAATATGCTAGGGTGGGCCTTGTAAAACCGAAATCTAGCCAGTAGTTGCTGGTGGCCAAAGCAGACCGACTCGTTAGGTCGGGAGGCCGGCTGCTCCGCATCCCACTGGTATCCAGCAAATCAAATAACGGTCTCGACAGGTTAGCGACTTAACATTACCCTCGCCGGATACTGTTCGTTCTCCTTTTTACCAGGCTGGTCTAGATCGGTCGTACGTGTATGCTCCCCCACCACCATGTACCATTATTGACATGGGGTCGTTCCAAACGCCGTACCACCTCATGTCCATGCGAAAACGGACGGAGCACTGCAGGCGTAAGCGCACCGCGACCCGAAAATGATAGTGAATAATGAAAAGAAGAAAGAAAGAAAGAAGAAAAAGAAAAAGGCGCGTTTTGCTTGCATATGGGCCGGTCGGCGGAGCACGGCGTTTAGCCCTAGCTCCTAACTTCTTTGTTGGTTCAAAGTTTTGTCAAGGTCAAGCGATCCTCGGCCTCAATTTCGAACCTCACGCCTGGACCTCGTCTAGTTCTTAAAGGTCACAGCCAACTTTACTTGACGGTCGACCTCGTCTGTCCCTTTCCTTTTCGAATACCGCGCCACTGCCAAGACGTCAGGGATAGCAAACCTGGATGGAGGGTTTCTCCCCAAAGGCAGCTGGACTTGAGGAACCTAATAAGTGTACTACGGAGTACCGAGGTCTGTGGGCTGTCATTGTTGACGGGGTTAACTCGGATCGTCCATGTGTTTGCAGAGCGCGTCTACTTGCGCCCGCGAGAAGGCTCAGCCTTTGGGTATTATGAGAGGCGCCCATTAATACTGGGGGCCACGCCTTGACCGCCGAACAAGGGCCAGTACTTTCCCCGGAACTAGGGCTGGGATACTCGCCCAAACGAAGACGAGATTGCTGAAAAGTTGTCGGTGTGGCAGGCTTTCTCAGAGGGGGTGAGGATGTGCGGCTAGGCCGGAAAAGAAAAAGAAAAGGAAAATTGCTGCATGAAAAGGGTCTGAGAAACTCCAGACGGACTAGGCTGCGCAATCCCCCTTCTTTTCCAGGGCTACGTGTAGGACAAAGAGTGATTCCTATAATTCATAGATCTATCCATTGCATGGGGGTTCTCGCGTTCTAGGGCGCCACGAGCTGCGTAGGCTTCCTGCACGTCTCTCACCCTTTTCCCCATTCCGTCTCTTCTCATCTCTCACCACCTTGGCGATCTGGTTATCTACAAGTACTCTTGAATGAAGGAAGCGGGCTTGCTTCGATGTAACGGTACAACCAACTGCCCTCACTAACCGGCACAACAGGAGAAAACGCCAATCAGGGACAAGAGGAATGGTGGTCAGAGACGGGAGGGATTGAGATCTCCCAGCATTGCGTCTGGGTCCTATTCACGCCTTGACGTGAAAAGAAGACGCGAGAGAGGCAGGAGAAGGAAAAAGGGTTAACGAGCCGGGCATAAAGTTTCCCTTGACCTCTACAACGTGGCTGCTCAAGAACGGCCGAAAACAATTTCACGGGTTGGTCTACGAATCACATGATGGCATTGAATCCGACAGCTCGGAACCGGCCCAGATCAGACGCGCCTTCGAGGTGAAAGGTACGTAAAGGGCGCAATTCAGGGAGCAACCCTTACGCCACCCCATTTTCTCTGGCGGGAGCTCAATGCAGCGGCCATAGTAGTCCGAGCAAAGTACATGGAAAAGACAGGGTGATTGTTGTTTCTTGCTCGGCGTTCCCCAAGTTCCAAGCTGATTCCCTTCCCTCCCTCCCTAATATGTCCGGTGTCTTTACTACTTTAGTGTCTTGAATTCTATGCTATGCGCAAACGCTTACACTGGCTTAGAATCTAAGTAGGATTGGGAAGAGGGTAGGTAAGGGCAAAAAGGAATGGCGCACGCATTTGGTGTGGGTAACCTTGAATGGCGAATCGAAAAAAGTATCATACCCAATCTGTACATTAATCCGCGGTCGCCATGCGAGGTCCGCAGCGGCGCTTACAAGAGCCACTGGCCCTTCCAAACGTGGCGATGAGCCCACTCTTTCTGCCGCCCTTCACAGAATACCTCCTTCGTAGATCCGCGTGTCCGACACCACTTCCGAGCTTTTATCCTTGGCCTGATGGTATCTTTTGATTGAAGCGGGAGCCAGCGGGCGATGAACCCAACTGTCCCAATTCGAATTGGCGGTGCGTGCCCGTAGGAACAACAAACAGCACTCACTAAACCCCACCCCATGCGCTCGCTAGCATTCGCCCAATTTCTCCTTCTCTGCAATTGCCTCGGGAGCTTGAGAGAGAGGGGGGAATGTGGATGGCCTGATGTCCATTTGAATGCTCCCTTGCTAACTGGCAGGTTCATCGGCATCGGCACCCCGTTGTAATCCCGATGCTCTGGTTCTGTGCCATATTACACGCTACATCCGGGCTCGGCTCTTCTGATGCTCGTATCGAGGGGGAAAAGGTATAGCGTACCATGTTACCACTGGCTTGCCTATTGCCCCATGAACGTTATTGCCTGTCAGTTTCAACAGATGAGGTCTCCCCGATCGGCTTTTGACGACCGAACGGGGCTTACCTCGTATTATACAAGGGATGTGCGTTTCAGAGGAGGCACATAGGCATGCGTAGCTGTTTGCTTCAAGGCAGTAACTTTAGGTCCCCTGTAGAAGCGAGAGGGGACACAAACAAAAGAAAGGGCTAGAATATTCTCTTTCCTCCATGACTTATGTTCTCTCAACTCTCTTGATAGTAGGGCTTACTGCTTGGTCGGCATCAAGGAGGCGAAGAAACGTCTAAAGGCAAACAAGACCAGAAAAAGACTTGGGATAATCAAAGGAGTTTGTTGAGGCACATGGCCCTATCCCGGTTCTAGCGATGCCTTGCTTCGTTGCGTGGCCATCAACTTGAACTCCTCTATCCGAAGATCTCACCCTGGAAGAGATGGCACGATTGGTACAGTACGTGATCTCGGGAGCGTTGTGGGGTGATGGGTTGACAATGTCATATACCAACCGTCCTTCAAAGTGATCCCGGTTTGAAAATGATAGTCCAAAGTGGAATGAAACCAATGATGATTCTTTGTAAGTTTTAGTTTAACCCCCATGTGTCATTTACTACGAGATCCCGGGAACTTCGTAGACATGAACGAGGCAGGCATACCGACCCGCTTCCTCGAATACCTCCCTGAGTGTACTCCGCACGCTCTCAACGGCAAGCATTTGAAATATGCTCTGTATTTACCATTGATAACGAGATATATCCTCGGGAGGTAGGTTTAGAAGGTATGGCGATGAAGAAAGCTCCGTCTACATCCCCGAAGTGTTCGTGGTATTTATGGTCGATGCGTCCGTAGATGGGGTCGGAGACGGTAGGAGGTTGGCCTTGTCGCTTGGCCCGGCATGATATACCATTTTCATGCGCTCAGTGTAACCCCCTCATCGCATGGGGGAAGCATGACCAAAGCTTAGACTGGCGTGTCGCACATTCTTACAGAAGGCCTGCCTCCTTGGCGCAGCGCAAAACACAGGGATAAGTCACTCTCGCAGACGAGACAGGTATACGAAGAGAATAGTACTCATGCAGGATGAGAGGAAGATATCGCAGAGTTGAATCTACCACGTAGCCAACAAATCAGGATGTCCTCCTCCTAAGACCCGAAAACCAGAAACGCACAAGTAGCCCAGATCCAAACGCCCTGCCATGCAAATATTTTCGGCACCGCTTAGGAGACTAACAGCTTAGGGTGCAAGGTGGTTCTTCTTCGCGTCGCGGCCATCGGGAGTGTATCTAAGAGAAGATTAGGTTAGTACATTAGACCCTGATGGTTCCGTGTGCCTTGCAGGTGGGCTGGCGCGTACTTCAGAAGCTTCTCAATGAGGTCGACGTGGGTCATAACCATGCGGCGACAGCAGTACCTATTGAGTCCAAGGCGATCCATAGCTTCACTGCAGATAGTTAGAAGGTATTCAGATGAAAGAAGAAAGAGCCATTGCCATCCACATACCCGTCGTTCAGGCCGTCATCGAGGAACCGGAGGTATCGTTCCCAAAGGTCGCCAACAACCTACACGATCCGTTAGCAAAGGGGTGTTTTCCATAGCAGTTGGGCGCGAAAGAAGAAGAGCAAACCTTTCCACAGGAGAAGCAGCGAACCGGGATAATCATCTTGATTCGTAAAGGGTCAAGAGCAATGGATAGGGATGTAGAATTGTCGCGAATTGGCGTGGGGAGAGAAAGTGGCGGGTCAAGACAACTTTCAAAAATTCAAGGATTCGCGACGTAGCGAGGTTTTTCCGTTATCTTATCGGGCCTGGAAATTTTTTGGTGGGGACTGCGTGCTCCACCACAAAGTCGTCGAGAAGTTTTCCAGTGGATGCTTCTGCAGACTCCGGTCGAGGGCAAAGGAACGCTGCCAACAGCATTGCCTCCGACGCAAACATTGCTCGAAATCACCAGTCTACGAGACAAAGGGCGCAGAACTTGAGACTCTTTCACAAGTAAAAATGACGGCCACACCCGATTCGAAGCGCCGCGATACGCGGCCACCCAAGCGGAAGAGGGACCCGGCGGAGATTGAACGGCACATGAAGGCTCGACAAAAGCGCATGAAGAACCAGAATAGCGAGACTGTCGGTCTCTTGGATAGCCCAAAGGCCTCCAAGTCCTCGAAGCCCCAAAATCCCTCGCGGATGCTGAAGAATCTGTCCAAAACGGGGTCACCCCAAGCCGAGCTCTGGTGCACCAACCTACGACTGCTTCCCAATTGAAAGCCCAAGATGTGCTGGGTGCTGGATGGGCAGTCTCAAAGCCTTTGGGTGGGAGGATAGAAGATATTGATCCTCTGTTAAGTGGGGACGAAAGGTTTGAAGACTCCCACTAGATCACCTCTCCAATGCTGATGTTCTTGCTAACCCTTTCATAGGTATCTTATCCTGGCATACTCGACCTCAATCCAGGTATATACGACGGCCGATTCTCTCCTTATACGGCGCATTCCCATAAAGCCGCCTCAGAATACGCCCTTTGAGATTGTTGCTGCTCGTCTCTCCGCTCAAAATGGCAGCCACCTTTGGGTTGCTTGTTCGGATGGTCGGCTTTGGCTGATCGACTGGACGAACGGCTCAGTTCTACGCGAGCCCGTGATCACCAAATCACACTCTGCCGTCGATATGATACTCCTTAATCTCAAGATTGGGAAGAATCAGCGCGAGATTCCCGTGGTCTCGGAGCACTTGAAGGAGGGACGCAATACCCTGGTGGCGTACAATTATCAGAGCACTGACGAAAGCAAAACCAGCAAAATGCTCGCGGCGCTTTCGCACGCTGGCCAAAAGATCCATAGCCTCGTTGCGGTGAATGATTCACGTGTTCTGCTCGCCGCGACCAAATCGACGCTCATTGTAGGAGTTGCGAGCGGCAAGTTCTCGTCCTTCTCTGACTTCTCCTATACCTTTTATAACTTTGAGACCAACGACATCATCACCTGCCTTGACGCCCGGGTCTCCACAACAACAAAACCCTAACCCAGAGCCGTCGCGCCATGGGCGAGAAGCCTAAGACTGCGAGGAATCACAACACACCAATCGTTGACGTGGTCATCGGAGGCGCTCGTGGCCCCATCTATTTCTATAATGACTTAATAGCCAAATTGGAGACTATGGGAGGCGAGGACGCAGAGACTCTTCTTGCTAGGAAATACCACTGGCATCGTAGAGCTGTTCATGCCCTCAAATGGTCCCGCGACGGTATGTTGACCCACATTTTGGCAGTATCCGCATCCCGGGCTTTTGCTAACTTAAGCGTGCAACAGGCAATTACATGATCTCTGGAGGCTCGGAACAGACTCTGGTTATGTGGCAGATAGACACGGGCAAGATGAACTTCCTTCCGCATCTCGCAGGTGTTGTTGAAAACCTCGCTGTATCTGAAACTGGCGCTTCGTACCTTGTTCATCTCGACGACAATTCAGTCATGGTTTTGTCAACGGCGGAACTTGAGCCCACTGTATACGTGTCGGGCATTCAGTCCGCCACCCGTAGCTCCCGGATACCCAAAGATCAATGGGTATCGAGGGTCTCTGCGCCGCGTCATGTGCCAACTCTAATTCCCGCGGCACTTCATCCAGAGATACCGGATAGGCTTTACCTTTGCGTTGGAGGCGGCAACCAAGCTACCTTGACGGCGGACGCTCTTTCTGCCCCTTTCCTACAAACCGTGGACCTCGAGTCGTTTAGGAGTATCTCAAAGCAGGCCATTGCCCGAACCCATCCCTCCGACGCCAATTTCACTGCGCAAGGAGAGGCGGTGACGGACCCGCAAGTTACGCATCTTGCGTTTTCGCATGACGGCAAATGGCTGGTCACGGTGGATGAATGGAGCCCGCTTCAAAAGGATGAGCTCAATCTTGGAGAAGACCAAGAGCGAACTCTCACCCGCGACAAGCGGGAGATTCATCTCAAATTTTGGGAGGCTGGCAGTGATGCGGATGGTGCAGATCTCTTTGGCCTTGTTTCCCGCATCAACTCACCTCACGTAACAAGCACTCCTGAAGCCATCTTTGGATTGGCGGCTGATCCCAGCTCGACAAAATTTGCGACCGTGGGCAACGACGGACTTGCCAGAATCTGGCGGCCGAAGGTGCGCCAGCAAGATGGGCTCACCGCAACCCGTGAAAATGGACGGGTTCTTCACACATGGTCATGCACCCAAATCATCCCTCTTGGTAATCAGCTTTCGGTCGAGAGTGTCGGCGCCATGCCTGCGGCGAAGAACCAGGGTCGCATACAGTTTTCCGAGGATGGCTCTACCCTCTTTGTCGCGTACGGTACGATGGAGGATGGCAACATCTACATTATCGACGCCCGATCCGGGAGGTCAAGGCAGTACTGGACGGGCTATGGCATGGCACCCTGCGTGGCCTATGTGTCCTCTCGCCGTACATCATCATCCTCTCAGATACGCTGCAGGTTTACGATGTGGTAGCCGACGACTTGTGCTACGGCATGCCTCTCAGTATCACTACGACGGATACCGGGGTGAAGCTGCCATCCATCTTGGGGTCGACTTAAGAACGCAGCATTTTGCCCTTACACTTCCAACCACTACGGGCACGGAAATCTGCGTGTTTAGGCCTGACACGCTAACGCCCGTCCTGCTGAACAAAATTCCTGGCCGGGTCATCAACCTAGTAACGAGCCCGCATTCGAGTGGGTTCATCGTTCTAGATGACCAGGCTCAACTGCGAACCATTGCCGAGGGCACCGATGCGGACGCTCTCGCAATAGCGAAGCCGTTGGAAGAAATGAGGCTCGACACCGTCGAAGCTGAGATTAATGGCGAGGTCCATGCAGCACCACTCAGCGAATTCTTCAGCGAAGCATTTAGCGATGACGAAGGAGATGACGAGGATGGAAAAGAGGGCGGAATGGATGTTGATTCAGACGATGAAGCGGCCCATCCGGCGGTCGTCAACCAACCCCAACTAGCTGCAATCTTCGACACAGCACCGGCGTTTGCCATGCCAGCAATCGAGGACGTGTTTTATAAGGTCGCGGGCCTTCTAGCTACGAAAAGACGAATACAACAGCTGCATAAGCTGACCTATAGGAAGGACAGCTTGCTTTAGACGGGGATGGGCGAATGGAAACGTGGGGAATAAAAGTTGAGCGGAGCCTTCTTTCTCTTCTGACGGGCTGCAAGATGACCAGCGGCGGCAAGATTCGGACATTTATTACGTGATTTTAGGCCGGTATGGTTGGCGGGGAGAGCGGTGGGAGGGAACTTGCCTCCATCTCATCCGAGATCAATTGATGCGAGGGGACAAAAAAAGCGAAGACGACGACGAGGAAGCATCTTTGGGACTCTTTTTACTGAGAGGCGAGAAGCCGTTCGCCGCTTTTCGAGCATAGTCTGGAGTAGCTATTTAAATGGAGACATGGCACTAGGCGTCTCTTGCTCTGTTTTTCATAATCGAATCTTTCAATCTGTTGGATCAAGGGAGCTGAACTTTGCCCCTCCCGTTTCCAGTCTTGGATAGTGTGGTATAATAACCCCACCATTCATCCACCCGTTGCTCCTCGGCCCATTCTGCCCGACTAGCGCTCATCAATACGTACTTTCTTCGATCACGACATCTCGCTATTTGGCTCACACGAGCCTCCAGAATCGGTCGGCGAATCTTACACAAGTCAACCACTTACATATATGGCAACGCCACCGTGAGATCCCAGAAGACCGCAATCAGATTGAATTAGCGGCCGTCAACCATGTCATTTACGTCGATTCCCATCTTGGACCTCTCTCTGGCGAGGAATCCAGAGACCAAGCCGGACTTCTTAAAGGAGCTTCGCCATGCGCTAATGGAGGTCGGATTCTTGTACCTGAAGAATGTGGGGATATCAGATGAGCTCTTTCAGCGCGTGGTTCGGCTAGGCAAGGCCTTTTTGATATTCCCGAGGAAGAAAAGTATGTGTTATAATACCCCCGTCTTTGATTTCTTCCGGAGGGCTGGAGGGCAAGGCACAGCCGAGCCAAGAAATCCAAGCTACTAGCTATCCGTGTCCGAGAAGTAATTGCCCTAGGTGGGCGTTGGGGGTAGTGCAGCGCAGAGGCGGGCGGGTAGTGAGCCTTCGTTCCTGCGCACCTTGACCCTGCTAACCTGCCTTTGGCTGCGCCTACGTTAGGCTCAAGATCGAGATGAAGAATGCCCCTTCATTTCTGGGCTACTCCCGCCTCTCCGCCGAGATCACCGCCGGTGCGATCGACAACCGCGAGCAGATTGACCTATCGACCGAGCACCCGCTTCCGGCCCCGGGCTCCCCGTACACCATAACCTTCTCGCGCCGAATCAGTGGCCCTCGGAGGCGGCGATTCCCGGGTTCCGCGAGTCCTTTACCGACTACATGGATCGCATGGGCAAGATCTCCATTGAGTTCACGTCACTCATCGCCGAGGCCATCGAGCTCCCCGCCGGCGCCTTCGACAAGTATTTCGACGCGGACCAGCAGCACAAGCTTAAAATCGTAAAGTATCCGGACCTCAAGGACCTCGGTTTGGAAGGGGAGGGCCAGGGCGTGGGTCCCCACAAGGATAGCATGCTGTCAAGCTACCTGCTGCAGGCGACGCAGCACCGCGGGCTGCAGGTGCAGAACGTGGAGGGCCGGTGGATCGACTGCCCGCCCATCGACGGGACCTTGGTGGTCGCCATTGGGCAGGGCCTGAGGCGCTCACGCGCGGCGTGTGCGTGTCGACTACGCACCGCGTGCTCTCGCCCCCGCCGGCCAGGGTGCGCGCTTCTCCATCCCCTTCTTCCAGGGCGTGCGGGGCGACACCCCTTTGACGACCTTGAGCGCGTCGGCGTCGGCGAGGTTCCGGATCATGTGCGTCGGCAGCGAGCTGCTATCCTTGCGCAGCAGGGGGTCGGTTAGACGATGTGGAGTTCACGTTCCGGTCGGGAGGGGTGGCCAAGACGCTGGGGAGGCGACGTTGAGGAACCGGGTCAAGAGCCACCCGGACGTCGCGGAGAGGTGGTACCCGGACTTGCTACAGGATGTCATGGCTGAGCAGGCGAGGATCAAGAGCGCCAGGAAGGAGGTGCACAAGGCAGTGGCTGCCCCAGCACCAGCGGCGGTGGTTACTCACTAATCAAAATACCTGACTATATGAGAGAAATGAAAGCACGATAATGAAACTACGAAGTGCCTTTGCTCTGCTATATAACGGGATCTAGTTCCCCGCCCCCAAGTCGGTTCTCTTTTGTCGATGTGAACAATAAGATGCAAAGTGTATTAACAATGATTCAAGAACTATCCCACCAATTTTCCACCCACTGCTATGTAGAGATGATGCGCCAACGCTCATAAAGGAAGTACAACGTAAAGATATGACAGAAAAGAAAAAGACAACACTGCTTTCTAAACCGTATGGGCACCGGAGAGGAGAGACTGTATGAAGGTAAGCTAGGTTTGCCTAGGACTTGTCGATCCTACAGGTCCCCACCTGGGGCCCACAGGTTGATGCCAGGGAGCAAATAACATTGTCGTTGAAACGCATGGAAGACGGATTGCCTAGACCTGCACACCAGGGAAGCATTCCGCGATGGTCTTGCTGTGCTTGTTCTCGGCGTGGGTGGCCAAACTACGGGCCACTGTTAGCACCATAGTTCCTTGGTAACTACCTCGGTAGTTGATTGCAAATTGGGGGTGGGGAGGATCGGGGTGGACGTACGCCGGGGCCTTCGAAGTCTGGAGGAAGGTCTGCTTGCAGATAGAGCAAACGATGTTGCAAGCGGCCGCGTTCTAGGTTTCGAGGTATATTAGCGCTGATTGCCCTCTCTATCGCCATTTTATTCTTTGGTCTTCCCGACAAATGCTGGAAGTGTAGGTGGCTCTGGATTGGGGTAATCGGGGCGGATACGCTCAATCGAGGAGAGGTAGGAAACGCACCGTCTTGAGTTGAGACTTGGCAGACTTCTGGTCCTTTTGGTTGCGCTCACGCTTCTGCTGAGCCTTTGCACCCTATCACGAAGAATCCGGTCAGTGTTTGTTCGCTGTTGCCAGGATATGGAGATTGACGGTGAAGAGAGGAAGAAAAAACGTACGTTACCCATTTTGGAGGATTAGAGAGAAAATAACGGGAAGATTTCAAGAGAAAGGAAGCCGATGATGTCTAACTTGGGACTGGCAGATGACGGGCGGTGAGTGAGCAGAATGTGAAAGGGAAAAAGAAAAATAATCAGCGTTAGTAAAAGGCCGAGGGCGTGGTGGGGGAAGATTTCGATTTCACGATGGAGGGGCAAATCCCATTGCTTAATTAGATAAGGGCGATGCGCCACCACGGGCCTACCGCTGAATTTTTTTCTTCCTTTCTCCTCTTGCACGGAAGCACCCGCTTCGCCCACTTGTTCTCTTTGCACTTGCCTGCAGGATCCTTTCATAGCAAGACTTCCCGTTTAGCACTCTCACACGCACCACCGCACCCTCAAGTTTTCTAACCCCGGGTGTGAATGGTTTCAATAAGGAGCTGAAAGTTCTCGATTTACGCAAGCTTGACCTATCGAGAAGGGGTGGAGCACCTGAGATTAGAGCAATATAAAAGGGTTTCCCTAGTCTTCCTCCCTTTCCCATTTCTCCATTCTCTCCGTGTCTCTTCATCAGACCTACTTCACAGTATTACGTTGGTAGACCATGTGCTAGATGACCCGGTATAGTCGCCCCGTTTGCTTGTGCCAAATAAAGATGCTCTCAAGAGGATCCTGTTATGTGCCAATGCATCTCTAAAAACGTGGAGGTTTTTCCAAGCCGTTGAATATTGCACGCTTGAACGTGTGTCGCGGGTGTTGGCTCATCCTGCTTCAATTCGCGATCTAACTGCGAATCGCGCCACGAAAGCCTTCAAGTGGAGGACTCATCTTGTGCTTGAGACCAGGCCCGGGGATCAATTTGTTGCACGTGACCCTCTGGGGGATTGGAAATACTGTTAGGATCAGGGTCCGTGGTTGAGCAGGGAAGAGTCCGTGGCTCGCTTTTTCCCCTTGCAAGTAAGTATTATAATGCGGGCTTAGTCTGATTGATCAATCTGTGAATGTCCAACACGCTACGCTCCAGTCCCGTCCAGTCCGGTTGGCCAGCTTTCATCGAAAACTTGCACCTTCTTCGGAGGGACCAGGACCGCAATAACTCTGGTTCCGTCCCACTGAAAGTTGTATTCCCCAGTTCCAGGGTCTCAGGGACCAAGTACGAAGTATAATTGTGCCCGTATCAGTTCCGCTGTTGCTGCTTAACCCGTCGCAATATTTACATCAATCTCGAATGCCCCCGCCCGTCTAGGGACTTCTCTCCTTCACTTTCCCTCGAGTTGAGAACTCTCTCATTGGTGGACGGAACAAATTTCCTCGCAACCGTCACCTTTCGAAGGCATTAACATTAACCTCCCAGCTCCCTGGCTGATTGAGAAGGCATCAATCTCCGATACAACCCCCTTGAGGCTCAAGCACAGATCTATGGGTGCATCATGGCTACTGCAGGAAAAGTAGTGTCGGCAGCGGCCATATCGGCTAAGGAGTTTGGAGATCTTCTTGACAGATATCCGTCACTGGTTCAATCAGTGTCAGATGGGAAGGCCGGTAAGTCGGTCCTTCATCGCGCCAATTCCCCGTATCAAAGGAACTACATCCTGGGAGACCTAGTTCGTAGGGCCTGACTCCACCAAAGCATCCCTTGTCGTCTCCACACCCCATCCCATCACCCGCCAGGGAACTGTTCTACTTCGTGCAACGCGACCTAGGCTCGACGCTTCAAGACAAGCGTGTGTTTGACGTCGGGTCAAGAGAAGAAAAACAGGAGGGAAATAGAGGAAGATGGGGAGAAAAAAAACAAGGTACAGCTTGCCCCTGAGTATCGGCCCTAACGTATGATACCCGCACAGCCAAAACCGGCCAGAAGACTCTCGTCGAGCTCGACCAGTATCGTTACGTCGAAGCCCCAGACTGCTTCCGGCTCGATGAACCTAAAAGACCCATGGCCCATGACGATGTCAAGGCCCTTGTGGAGTGGAAGCTGTGAGTCCCTCGGGCCCTTTTGAAACCTCCTTTGTCCCCCTTTAGCTTTGCTTTCGGGCGTTCGAAAGGGGACTCCCCATTCACACTTCATTGATACTCTGCCATCCTGGCAACGGACTCCCGGGTGCGCCTTCCTGGTGACGCCTTGGGCCCAGAGCTTCCGCGAGAGAGATGGCACGCTTGCATCCGCTTCAAACGGGATCAGTATCCTTCAGGCGTCCGCCGAGCCTAGTGGAATTTACCTCAGCGGGTGACGGCTGCACGAGGCGAATAGTTGAGAAGTGCCGACGTTTGTACATGATCATGTCGCCCGTCGAGCTTGAAAGCTCACGCAGTTTCTTGCTTAGGCGCCACGGAAAGTTTCGCCCAACATTAATGAAACTTGTCAGCTCCAACGATGCAGAAGCGGTGAGGGACATCGTCGAGAGCGCGATTAAGACGTATCGTACAGAATCTGAAGTCTCGGCGCCCGTTGAGATCTTGTGTAAGCTGAAAGGGATTGGACCAGCGACGGCCTCCCTCTTGCTTTCCGTCCACGATCCGGAACGCGTCCTCTTTTTTCCGACGAAGCATTCTATTGGCTGTGCTGCAATGGCAAGAAGGACGCTATCAAGTACAACAGAAAGGAGTATGCCACACTCAACCAAGAGGCCCAGAAAGTAACCAAAAGGCTGGGCGTGAACGCGATGGACTTGGAAAAGTCGCCTACGTTGTAATGAATGGGGCGGTCGGGGAGTCGGGATCGTCCAAAGTTGAGAAGGAGGATTCGCATCCTCCCAAGTCAAACAAGGACGTGAAGCAGCTAGCAGCCAACAAATCGTCCTCGGGAAAAAGAAAGCAAGATTCCGATAAGGACAGGGACAAGGATGGGGATACGGGGCTACTAGATTCGACCAGACCTCTCCGCCGATCAAAGCGGACAAAATAATAGTCAACCAAGCATAATTTGAAAGGTCCGGGATGGAGCGGACACATTGCCGGTGTCCGACCCGAATACTGCAGTATTTCTTCTCTTTTTTGTTCCATTTTCCCCTCTCTCTTTATAACTCTTTCTTTTGGCCGATGGGAGTCGCGGTGGCTGTGGTAGTAGTAGTATTTGATTTGTTTGGAGTTTCGTACCCTCGAATCCGGCTGGTGCTCTCTCCGATGCGCACAATGTTCACTTGTGGTGTGGCCACTGACACCCTCGCTCCCTAGTGCGAACGGACGGACCCATCAATTCCACCCACCGATTTCAATACTTGTGCTCCAGTGCTTGTCATCTTGTCATCAATAGCTGTTGACATGTGCTCTTATTAGCTGCGCCAACTTCTTGGGTGTGGAGTCTAGTATTAATTTCATTTCCTGGGGTGAAGGAAGACAGACAGGCTTTCATGGAGGGTTGCGCACGCAGCCCAAAAGGAAGATTGAACGCAATGGACAATTTCAGCAGCGAAACTACTGCATAGAAAAGTGGCCGAATCTTCCACGTCTTCCATTCCTTAGAGAAGCAATCTGGATCGACGGATCTCCCGGCTAGGGAGAGGCAACGCGAACCGATCCTACCAGACCTAGAGGATTGCAATTGCATTAGATATTGCTCCCACGAAGAAAAGACCGGGGAGCGGAAAGCTGGACCTGTCCGGAGAAAAAGAAAGAAAGGGAAAAAAAAGACCCTTTTTTCAGTTCTCGGAAAATCGATTGCGCAGAGCCGCCGCCTGTGCGCGCGTGCATTCCATCTGGAAGCCTGCACCGGCGTCGATTGCTTCTAGCGAAAAATTCCGCGGTTGCATACGGTGCATTAGTGTGTATGCACTTCGCACTTATGCGAATGTGGTGTTTTATGGGTATGGTACGGGATGCCATCTCATCACAGCTTGCCTCCATCTTTGGTCGGTGAACGTTGCACTCCGGCTCTTAGGCTGTCCGCAAGCACCCGAAAAATGCCCCATTGGTGTTCCAGCTTGTGAGTGCCGCGTCGACGGCAGCGCGGCCCGACCGTCCACACTGAGAGAAGCACCGGAGACGAGACTTTGGTCCTTCTCGAACCCCTGGAGATTCCGGGTCTCTTTAACCCCTTCAGTCGCCTTGCGTCTCGTTTCCGGGCGAGACGTCATGGGTTCATATCTATTTGCGCGCGATGAAGCTTTCTGAGGCCAATTCTTCTCCGACATGCCCTGGCGGGAGCGCGGCTATTCATTCCATGGGGTAGAGACCACCCTTCACCTCAGTACCTTTTTTTCTCGTTCCTGTCTATCTCCCAGGTTTCGATCTTCATCTCGTCTTATGGTCCGGCGGGAGGGAAGAACTATATATGCTCATTATCCATCCCGTCTATATAGGAACAATTCATCTATCTGTTTCCAACACCCACAAACTCTTTCAGGAACGAAGCAACACTCCGATTTTGTTGTTCGCTGTCATTCATTCTTTTCTCATTTCCTCTTCTTCCGGATTCACCTTCCCTTCCTCTCGTTCAAAGCTGCCAATTGAGCCCTTGCAATATATACCCTTCTTGCTCCGTTGGACTTGTGCTGTTTGATGGTCTAGCTTTCTATCTTGCTAGTTTCTCGACCGATCTCGTCTTCGTTGGCCAAGACTGAACCCAGTCCTGCCTCCGTCTTCTTTCGACCTTCCTTGCTGTTTCCCTCTCTCCCTCTATTTTCTCTTCCTTGCCTTGAACCACGGCTATCCATTAACAAGTGGAAGCGCGCCCACCCATACTCTACCGGATGTGTTAATCCCACTGTTCACACCTTTCCCCCTACGAGCCAGTCATTCGTTTTATTTTTATTTTTACTCCAACTTCTTGAACCCTTTGGAAAAGGGTTGAGCTAGCCCCTTGCCTCCAAGGCGAAACAGAACATGTTGGCTTCTCAGAATCCTCTCGCCCACGCCCACGACCTCACCCCCACTCCCTTCAGTCCCGCGCCTTTTGCCATGGATGCCATGTCACTCCCCGACGAAGACCCTATTGCGCTTCCCGCAAGATTTGCCCGCGTTAAGAAAGCCCTCATTTCGGGAAATGAAACGGCAGTAGCGGCGTCCTGGAACAGGCTCCTCTCCGAGCTTCGCAACGAGATCGAGGTCATCTCCTCGAGGGGCTCCAGCGTGATACCAGTCATCAATTTCCAGGACATAAGAAACCCAGCCAACGTGGCCAAGTTTTCGGCGGAGTTGAGGAAGAGGGGCGCGGCGGTCGTGAGGAATGTCGTCCCGCACGCCGAAGCCATGGCCTGGAGGAACGAGACGGAGATGTACCTGTCTACGAACCCCGAGATGCAGGGGAGCCCCACGCGGGACCCGCACCTATTTGGCGTCTACTGGACCCCGGCCCAGATCAAGGCCCGCGCCCATCCCAACGTGCTCGCCACGCAGAGGCTCGCCATGAAACTGTGGCATTCGAGCGACTCATCGGCCCTTCTGAGCACCGAATTCCCCGTCGCCTACGCCGACAGACTGCGCATGCAAGTAGGCGTAGGCGCCGGCGATTCGAGGTACTACCAGAACGCTCACGTCGACGGCGGTAGCGTTGAGCGCTGGGAGCCCGACGGCTACGGCCGCGGGGGCACCTACGACAAGATATGGGAGGGCCGGTGGGAGGAATACGACCCCTGGGAGAGCGGTACACGCCTCCGCGTCACGAGCGACTTGTACAACGGCGCGGGCACCTGCAGCATGTTCCGGATGTTCCAGGGCTGGCTCTCCCTGGGCGACATCCCCACCGCCGAAGACGCCCTGCTCCTCTGCCCCATGCTCAAACTCTCCACCGCCTATTTCCTCCTCCGCCCCTTCTTCGAACCGCGCGTACCCTTTGAGTCCTGCCCATCCACCGCCGCCTACCTCGACGAATCAAACTGGATCCTGCCCCCGTCCAGACCAGCGTGATCCAGGGCGCCCTCCCCAGCTATACCCAAGAGCTCAACGACATCCTCCACCCGCACCTCCAGCTCCCTCGCACCATGGCGCCCATACCGGACCTCGGCCCGGGAGACTACATCCTCTGGCACCCCGACCTCGCCTACGCTATCGACAACCATCCCCCAGCACGGATCTGGGAGGCTATTTTCCTCCCCTCCTCCCCCATCTCCCCCGCGCCTCCCCGATCTGGCAACCGTCATCTACATGTCCGCTTGCCCCCTCACGCAGACTAATGCCCTGTACCTGGCCCGCCAACGCAAAGCCTTCCTCCTCGGTCACCCTAGCCCAGACTTTGGCGGTGGCCGCGGCGAGCGCGCCCACCTGGGTAGGCCGGGTGTGCAAGATGTCAACGATGCCGGCGGCGAGGATGGGCTGATGGCCATGGGCCTGCTGCCGTGGAACGAGAAGCTCGTCTCCGACCCTGTGGAGAAGGAGGTGTGCAGAATGGCCAATGGCATCTTATTTCCCGATCGGTACGGGCTTTAAAGAAGGCGGACGAGGGAGCCTGGGATCCTCCTCCTGGCGGTCTCCTTTTCTTCTTATTATTTTTCTCTCTCTTTTTGTAGTTTTCACCCTTTTGCTCTTTTCCTGTTCTATCTTTATTTCGGGCATCTCTTTTGTTTTGGAGTATATCATGATCGGATCATATTTATTTTTTTATTCTCTTTTTATAGACGGATAGAGCCTATATATTCCCCGGATGGTTATCACTTTTGCTTCTGCTTCTTCTGCTTCTGCTTCTGCTTCTTCGTCATCGTCCTTCTTTTCCTCTCTCTCTTTCTCATTTCTTATCCTTTCTTTCTCTTCTTTCGTTGGTTCCTTTCCCTCTTCCATGGACTACGGTTATGTCGTGCCACGCACTTGTGTTCCGCGTTTCAGCATGAAGGCAGTGAGAGAGCAGTGAGGAAGCGCCTGGCCAAGGAAGATGGGGAGGGCAAGCGTTATGGGACACGACCGTTTTTCTTTCTTTCGATCCGGGTATTATGTGGAACAACAGATGACACACTCAATCGCAAACGTCGGCTTTCGCGACGTGGGAAAAATAGAGGTTATTTCGAATTCATTAGAGGAAAAAAAGGTCTACACGCTACCACCTGAGATGATAGAAAAGACCAAGACACCTAACCTAGGGTTACAAAACATGGAAAAGCTTCTTCCTTTCATGACTGTCTGGTACTATTGATGACAATGTTTCCCCACTCTCAACGTATCCACGACTTCCTCCTTCGGGTCTTCTATTCACTCAACCTCTCATCAGCCTCTTTGGGCTCGTTTCTCCTCGTCCCCCATTTTGGGTAGTCCAGGGAAAGGAACTCGCAATGGTACCTTGCCACTAGAGCTCTATTTCCGCTGTGCGCCGTCTATTAGTTGTTTATTTGGTCTTCTTGGCCTCGGTTCCCTGGCCTTCGGAGAGCTTATCGCCGAGGTTGTTGTACTCCCTTTGGAGGCCCTCGGCTTGCTTCTTAAGAGCCTGCATGTCAGTCTCCTTGGCGGCCAGCTCCCTTCGAAGCTTCTCCTTCTCGTAAACGGAAGCGGGATCAACCTTCTTGCCCGTGCTGCTTTCATAAGCGCGTAGGCGGTCCTCGAGCAGGACGACCTCGAGAATCATGACGTATGTGCGGTTCAGGATTAGGGAAAGGAAGAGAGTGAAGCCGCAAAGGTACATGTTGCGCTGAGAGTAGAACTTGCGGGCCTGGACTTCGAGGCGCTCGTGACCCATGACGGCCGCGGGGCTGGATAGTGAAGACGGGTCAGATTAGCAAGGGTTAGGCCTTTAGGTGCGGGCACGTCCGTTTGTTTCTACCCCACCGTTTCTTTCTCAAGGTGGGAAGGAGGGTGATTTCTTACCCGTTCTTGGAGTTCTCTGTTGCCAAGGCGAGGTCGACCTGGACACGGTAGACACGATTGACACTATCGATGAAGAGAATGAGGATGAAGATAAAGGTGATTTTCATCCAGTATTGAATTTTCGCAACAAAAGGACTCTCGGAAATAAAGCTGTGGCGATATCATGTCAGGTCGAGATCATCTCTTGGGGGAGGAATACGGAGGGGTTGGAAGATGGTGTTTCGAGAGGCCTGAGGAGGAGCCACGAAAGGCGAAAGAAAGCGGTACATACGTGAGAAGCTTGCGCTTGATTGTGTAGGGAAGAGGAAGGATGAGGAGCATGAACGTTGCCATCTCCGCCATCAAGAGCACAAAGACCTGGGATTGAGTTTCGCGAGTTAGCTCAATGTACCCGCCACACTCGACGTCGAAGGGCGCTTCGCAGCTGAATGGCGAAGCATCCCATTCTAAAGCTTTCCAATGTTCAAGAAAATATATCTTACCAGAGTGTAGTAGAGAGTCATCTTTGCTATATTTTAATCGGAAAGATCGGAGAGAAATTGGGAAGGAAAAGGGCGAGTTTGTGATTATGAGGCGCCTCGCCAAGGTGTTCGAGTGTTCAAGGGTTGGAGGTATGCTTGGAGGAGCTCGGTTGCAGATAGTAAGGCAAGCTGCACTTTATGGTCAGTACCGCGCGGTGATGAATTGTTGGCGTGATGATTTTGCGAGGTAGTAGTAACAAGTAGCGCTGGAGAGGAGACGAAGAAAAGAGCCCTCGCAAAGGGACTGAAGTGATCGCCAAAATTGGAAATTCTTCAATACGTGAAAGATGGAGCTTGGTTGGTGAAGAGGAAGAGAAGAGAGGGGAGGAAGGCGAGTCCGCTCAAGGAAGACCAGGTTATGTACTCACCGGCAATTCACGAAGCTAGAGAAGAGAAAGATGTGGGTGTGTTGTCATGAACTGAGGTTGTCCGATTTTTGTTGCAAAAGCAGGAGGAGGGCGAAGCGTGAGTTTAAAGAAGGGACATCGAAGGGAAGGGAGAGCAAGGAAAAAAGTAGGCTAGGCCATGTTCCAGCCTCCCGCTGCACTGAAGCTTCCACTTCTCCTTCTGTGGCCAGCCAAGCAAACCGAGCACCTGAGAGCTTTGGGTTTGGGCTGGCTTGGTTTGGGAGGGCGGGGCAGGGAAGGTAGCAACCGGCGGGAGGGAGCCTTGCTGGCCGCTTTCCTCGCACCGCAACGTCATCGCTGTGGCTTGAGCTCCCCACTCTCGCGCTGGATGGACTGTTTTTGGTTCCCCCTGACAGCAATCATGATTGGCACGAACCAGCTTCGAACAAGTCGCCTTTTGCTTGACTCCTGCGAGCTGAATTCGCAGGCACCAACGTCGTGGTTCTTGACGGATATGAGCCCATGCTTCTCCTCTCTCTCAGAAATCAATTGAATTGGTCCAGCAATGGATCGATGCTGCAGTTGGCGAGCACACACAAGTTAGAAGCTATCGGATGGAGCCCTTGGAGGCATTGAAAAGTATCACGTGTCAGAAACCCAACCTGTTCAGTGACTTCAGGTTGATCCAAGTTCTTAGTGCGGCACCTTGAAGCAGATCAGCAACTGTGGCTGGTGCTCTTCACCCGGCCCGGGACCGTACCTTGCGCCCTCGCTCCAGGCAAAACAGTGGCATCGTGGTGATGTCACAACTGGTCGGCGAGCCGCTCCATCATTATGTGACCATGATTCAAGCGTCCGGGCCCTGTGGGTCTTTCTGCATGCATTAGCACCAATTGTCATGGCCCGGCCCGATAGTCGAAGTTATCCCAAGCCCGCGCCTGCTAAACAGAGACACACTCCATCGCATCATTTCCCTATTCCATGCTATCTAGTAGACCGAGGTGTAAACAGGCAAAAGTGGTCCACACAGACAGGGAAAAAAAAAGAAAAAAAAAGGAAAACAAAATTGATGGCATTGTTAGGAATCCTCGCCATACTTGTATAGTTCTCCAGTAAACCGAGGCTAATCCGCCCTATCGAGCATGGGCCAAAGAGAGAGATATTTCTTTCCACGTCAGTGTCGTACATGATGCATCAAGATAGATGAGAGCAAAACGAAATAAATATAATTACTTTAGAAGTCGGCGCCTGTTTATATATATATGTACACCATGATGACCGTCAATGGTCGATAACCGCCTCTTTCTAATGCATCCGAGAAGGTGTTGGAGGAAGGACTAGGAGAAAAAGGCGTGAAGCGATGCGAAACGAACAGGGACCAAAAACTCCCGACACCTAAGCCTAAGCCTCCTCCTCCCCTCCTCCCGGTATCTAGCTGGAACTTGAACCTTGCGAGTAGATTTACCCCGCGACGGAGTGCCATCTTCATCTTCATCCCCGTCCTCGCCCTCGCCCTCGCGCCCCTGCTCATCAGCGGTATTTGTCTCCAGATTCTCCTCCTCACTCTGCCGCAATGCGGTCCTGTGTACTACCGTTTCGCCTTGGCCTCCCTCGTCCACGCTGCTGTCCGTCGCCACCCTATGATCTTGGCGGCTGGCCCGCCGGTGAGCCAACGGCGCGCTGTCCGAGTCGGACACGTGCCCTTCTTCTTCGGCTGCCTCGGCTGCCTCTCTTAAATCCACCGAGCGCGCACCCGTGTTATTACTCTTCCGCGTTCTAGAGCTAGCGGCGGCTGCTCCCGTCCGACGAGGCGGCCGGCTAGGCGACCCCATGGCCTCGAGGATAGCCTCTTCCTCTTGGACTTCCGTGTCAGTGCGTCTCGCCCGCTTTCGTGACCGCGCTGCCCCCGTGTCCCCTACGACCGCCAGCTTCCCAATCTGAACCTTCTCCCGACTCATCGCCCCCGTCCGTCTTCTCCTCCTCTTCCTCTCCCTCTCCCTCTCCCTCCCTCTCCTCTTCTTCTTCTTCTGCGGCCTCTGCTCCTCCTTCTTCTTCGCCATCATCCTCGACCACCCGCTTACGCTTCTTCAGATGTGGGTGTCGCTGTTGCTCGGGCTCGGTAGTTTCTGGCAGCTCCCAATCCGCCGCGGTAGCGTTTACCACTTTCTTCCCTAGCGGCCGCGCGCCTGTCTGCTTGGCTGGCTTTCGCCTCGTGTCCCCACGGCGCCCTTCGCGATCCGGCCGCCCCGAGCGTCGCCGCCCCGCCTTCTGAGCAGGACCCTTGAGCTACCCTCGGCGGCCGTTGATGGCTCATCTACTTGGTCCGCGCGGTCTTCGAGAAGTTTCTTGGTGAGATTGGGGAAGTTCTCCCCGTAGTTAAAGAAGAGCTCCTCGCCTGCTCGGATATCTCGCATGGCTGAGAAACGGATTCTGTACTCTCCATTGACGTAGAGGATCTTGGGCATGATGTTGCACGCCCGCTTGTCGCTTTCCGACGCGTGATTGATGTACCGACTCAAATTTCCATACACTGCTGCATCCACCCAGATGCCCTCATCCTCCAGTAGTGTAAAGAGGTATGACGCATTGGATCCTTCGTTGAATACGTCGCCGCGCCGCGCCTCGCGTCGTACCCCTCGTCATGCGTGATGAGCTCGCCCACGTATTCAATGACAAATTCGTCCTGCGCAATGTCTTCCGCCGTAAACAGTCCATAGCCGCAGCCGTCCAGGAGGCTCTTTCCCAGCATGAGCCGCTTGGTCTGCCCTCGCTGGAGCGCGCAGTTCTGGCATCCCGTTTGGTGCAGGTCATCGTCGCCAAGGTTGGCGGGGTCGACCCGCTCTATGGCACCGCAGCCTTTGCACAGCGCCGGGTCGCACTCCCTATTTAGCTGCACGCAGATACACGGCCGCTCTTTTTGCTTGGAAAAGCACGTCTTACCCAGCGAGTGGCAAGCGCAACCCGTGAATTTATACGCGCAGATCTCCGCCGTGCAGCGGCAAAACCTCTCGCACAACACGCCAGCCTGGACGCAGGGGCATGCAGAGGTACAAGATCCATCGTGGGTACACGGCTCGAGAAGTTCACGACGTTGGTGCTCGTAGACCCTCGTATGTTCTTGCCAATCCCCAACGAGCATCTTCCTATGCCGGTCATACCAAGCTAAATTCTTGACCGGTTTCGGCGGGGTAGTCGCAGGTGCCACCTTGGGGCCGAGCTTTGCCTGCTTCATCTTGAGGTGAACCTCCCAGCATGGCCGCTGGAGAAAGCCCGAGATGGTGCACTCCGGAAGGCGGAAGCTCGGCCCAACTGGCGAGGTTTCAACGAGCGCGCGTAGAATCCTAAGTTCTCGCGTCGTCCAAGGCGTCATGACCCCGGGAGGGATTTCTCCGTCGATCAGCTGGAAGCACTCGTCGCCGCAAGGTTGCGAGTACAAGACCTTTTCCTCCTGAGTGGCACGATCTCGAGTGAGTCTGAGTGGCCGCCTTTTCAGAGCGCCTTCAACGCCGCCCATGACCTCCATGGAGAATGTGCGTTTCTGGTTTTTATTGTCGTATTCTCCATGGTCGCACGAGTTGCAAAAGCATATCAGACAGGCGAGGAGAGAGTGGGTCTCTAGATAGCCATCCGCCGGTTCGAGCGTTTCCGTTGGCTTGGAGGGCGCAATCACTTCTTTAGTCAAGCGTTTAGGGTCGACGATTTGATCGACAAAGTCGTCTCTGAACAGGACATCCCGCAGCGTGACGGGGTACTCGGAGCGTTCGCGCGAGAAAACGAGGTCAAATGCTTCGGTAAACTGCTTGACAGCACGTATCGATCTAGGCGACCCTATATCATCTACCTTGCGGCAACTATCAATCAGGCTAGTCTTTTGCTGCGGTGTGATGGTGTCGTCACGAGCCTCGCTTGCCATGTACCGGATGAGATTCGCTTTTGTGCAGCCCTCAATGGACAACGTTTTGAGCCACGAGGGAAGCATAGTCGCGAGACGCGCCGCGGTCTCGTCTCGTTTCGTATTCGCCGCCCTCTGCTCTCTGCTCTGGGGTTTGAAGCCGGAGGCGGCGTCCATCTCATCTAGTTCCTGCAACCAGAGGTTGTACTGCCGCTCCTCGGAGTCGTCAAGGTCTCTCACGTGTGGGACGTACTTAAGCATCGTCTGAGGGGTCAGTACGCTCTTCGGGATCTCTATGTGGTGAAATCGATAGGGAGGCACGGCTTCGGCTTCGGTCTTGAGTGCGACTACTGGGAGGTTTAGGTTGCGCTTGCCAGCGGAGGAGTTAGACTTTCTATTGCTTGATGTATGGAGCTAGATGGCGCAATACGATGTTAGAAAGAGACGGGGTTGAGGGGTACTAGGGCTGAATCGTCGGGTGGTTCGGAATTTGCCTACCTTGAACTTGGCCCTGACAGTGAGGCCTTTCTCTTCCGGTACGCTCTCTGCTTTGAGGCCAGCGAATAGATCCTCCCCTCGAGTTGCCTCCATTCCTTTATTTGCTGTCTGCTCGTCTGAAGCGCGCGATAGGTCATCATGCGGTGTTGATAGTTGAGGTCTTCCGTCAGGTGTCTTAATTTCTCGGCAATCTTCTCCACGGTCCATTCTGAGCGCCTCGGTGTCACACCCTTGGGAGTCAGCTGGGCAACCATGGGGCCAGCTGGTGAGGAGCGAGGTTGAAGTGTTGCTGGGTGAAGCGCACTGGCGCGCGATTTCATAGAGGCCGATCCCACGCCTTCGGTTTGACGACTTGTTGGGCTGTTTATATGCGTCGTACTCGCTAAAAGGGCAGGGGGTCGGTCAACTGCTGCGGTGGGGTTCGCGTCTGGGCTGGTGAGGCGGTTTTCACCTGGTCTATCGGGAGCTTGTCGGCGGCATGCTTGGTGGTAGCGGAGGGCGACATGTGTACAAGATTCGAGCGTGGTGCGAAGTTGGACGAGAGCGGTAACTGAACGGATCCCTTGGGCGAGTTATGCAGTAGCTGCTGTTGCTGTGGTTGGTGTTGTTGCTGCATGACCGGTATTCTCCTCAACGCGGTCCTCGGGGTGACTTGTTGCGAAGATGGTCGCTTCAAAGGGTAATCGCCGGCTTCGCTGCCATCGCTGGCAGCATTCGTCAAATCGATCAGGTCAGCGCGGTGGCTGGAAGGTTCGGTCAAGTCGATAACGATGTTAGGCATGCTGGAAAGAAAATGGGGAAGAGGTGTCGAGGCAGCTGTGCCTGCCAACAATTACGCGCGGGGTGGCGTGGGTGAAGGCCCTCTGGGGGCGGAAGTTTTTTTCGTCAAGGGAAAGACGAAGTAAAGAGGGGAGGGGAAGGAGAGGGGAAAACGAGGTATTGAGAGATTTCAAGTAGGATAAGGCAGTGACACAGGTCCCGGACAAGCCAGAGATGAGAACCGAGAAGACTGCGATACTACGAAGCAATCAAGATCCCTCGGACTCCACTTGATGGTCGATTTTCCCGTGCTTCTTGACTGGCGCTCGACCGGTGCTTGACCATTCTCCACTGCTATCCCTTCACAAGCCCAAAAAACACAATGACAATAAACAGTGATCGCATTCAAGGCACGAAAGTTCAAACAATGATTGTACAAAAAGGAGAAATGATATCCTTGGTCACAAGCATTCGAGATGCATGCACGCAGGAGGGCGGGTTCTGGGGGTCCTTCTCGATGTCGCCAGGTCCTCGAGATGAGGGACAACGAGACGCGTCCTCATCGCGATATTCGCTTCAGGGATGGCATGCAACGCTAGTCCGAATTTGCCCTTTCTGACTCAGCAAGAAGAGACTGTACATGCGGGCCTAAATTACTGTCTTGATGCACTGTGTATGATCTGTGTATGATGACGGCATCACAGTCTGTTGTGGCCCCCGGTTTGTTCGAGGTCAAACAGACACCCCAAGTGTTGAACGTAATTGTCCACCTGATACGAACAGAAGATGATGACGCCACTTATACGACCTTTTCAGGTCTAAATGAACCTTATCCCATCACGAATCTAGCTAGCATCTAAAGCGCTCGAGATAGGGGCGAAAGAGAGATGCGCAAGTCGAGTTCTCTGCGTTGGAGCGAGGTGATGTGCTGGGCCTTCTCTTCTTGCTGTTCTAAGGTCTTTAATTTTCAGTTCCAGAGGCACAGCCTCCATTCGGCATCTTCTTCTCCAGTAGATCGGCATCAAGAACGGGATTTCTAATTCTCCGAAGCAACAATCCCGCCAACGCTCGCAAGGAAAGGTATGGCCCATGATGCGCCCGGTAGATCCATTGCATGGCCGCATCCTTCGACGTAGAGCTGAAGCGGGTCCCGGCGATGGAAGCTGGAGCTCTTCTCCGCTCGACCTAGTAAAAACAGGGTCTTCGCCTGACGTACTGCACCGCACCTAGGAACCTGATACGTGATGCACATCCGAGGCAATGTGAACTAACTTCTGCTTTAACCATGGGTATCCCAATGCGGGGCAGGGACTGTGATAGTTCAGAGCATGGCAGTCCCTCGTACCCTGAAGCAGCTGAAGGGACTGGAAACGTACGTTTCCCACCGATTTTAACTTTTCTGTCTTGTGTTCGGGGAAGCACGAGGAAACGCGGCCTTGTTAAAAGTCACTGGACTGGGCATCCCGCTGGCAGCACGGAGACTCGATATCAGGTCCGGGGCGGGCGTGCTCCCCACGAGAACACGGATAGCTTCCAAACCAATCAAATTATCTCCTTGGCCGACAACTCCAAAAGGTAATGGTGATGATACTAGTTTGAGTTCCGCAGCAAAGTTATGGGTGCCGAGAGGGCCGAACTAGTCGAACTAGACCATCCTTGTCGTTCTACTTGCAGCTTGGGGCACTGGCGCGCATTTTTTCCAAGACACTCGAGCCTTGTACATGGGGCCTATGACGTCCTGGGTCGACCCAAGAGGTTCTTTTTCTTTCTTCCTTTTTTCCTCTTCCTTTTTCAGATTCCCGCCCTCTGGGCGCTGCAGGTTTCGGGTTTGGAGAACCCTCCCATGTCTCTTCAGGTCTTGGGTCTTACCAAATCGATCGGCGACGGTGACAAGTCCATCAATGATGTCTACCTCGAAGGGGCAGCCGTCAGTCCGGAATTCCCTTGCTGACTGCCTACATCTATGGATGTATAAATCAATGTAACCCAGTACTCGGAGCCGCGAAGATTGTCTGCCTTTGGCACTGCCTGATCCTCTTCTTCTGCTGGCCCCATCCATCCATATCAGTCGATACCTATCCCCCTGCTCTTCCTTTCGTAACAGTTAGAAGTGCCTGACGTCCGTTCAGCCCAAGCTCTCAATCTCCTCTTGTTTCAAGGTTGGCTCGGCCAATTCATAATAATACCCTCCCATCCCCCTCTTCCTCCGAACCCTTGTGTCAACCCATTCCAACGCCTTCAATAGCTGCCCCACGTCATCATACCCTTGTCTCCCAAACACCTCCCACCACCCAGACAGGCAGCGCCCTCTTTCGCAAATCTCCTCAACTTCGAAACAATTAAAAAGCTTCACGCAGACGACGAGCGCGAATATTCAGAAAGGCAGAGAACAGCCAAGCTTGCAACCTATAATAGTCCCCTCTCGGTTCTTCTTTCCTCTCACACAATGCATCGCACATACTCAATGCGCAGGACGAGGGCGCCAACTGCGTCGCAAATCCAGGTGAGTCGAGAGTTGTGCCCAACACCACAGCCAACAAAACCAACCTTTCCGACCAAGCATCGTGCGTTCGCAAGCTAACCGGAGGTCAATTGTCAGAATCCCCCTCCTCCTCCTTCGTCTACCAAGGGCGGAAGGATCTTTAAAAGTTCATTCGGTGAGTCCATGCCAATTCAATGGTCATCGCACGAAAGCTGTACAACGCCGTCCATCGCTCGGTGCCGTGCAACCCAAGCTTTTCTCTCCCGTCCCCCGACCTCTTCTCTCTTTCACGGCCCAGCTCTGTTCTGCTGTCCCTTGACTCGCCGCGCAATGACAAATTAAGCTAACAATTCTCCCGGAGCATTTTCAGGCCATGCCCTCCGAGGAAAGACCGCCGGCGCATTCGGACCCGACCTCGCCAAGAAGCTCACCCAGCTAGTCAAGATGGAAAAGAATGTCATGCGCAGCTTGGAGACGGTAGCCAAGGAGCGCATGGAGGTGGCGGTAAGCGGACACCCTGCGGATGCGCATGCCCATCGGATTCACACACTCTACATATTCGAAGCAGCTTCGCTAATGAGAGATTAATGATTAGCACCAACTTTCCAACTGGGGTGAAGTCGCCGACGAAGATGTTTCTGACATCACTGACAAGCTCGGTGTCCTTCTTTACGAGATCGGCGAACTCGAGGACCAGCTCGTTGACCGATATGACCAGTACCGAGTCACAATGAAGGGTATCCGAAACATTGAAGCTTCGGTGCAGCCATGCCGGGATCGTAAGAAGCCCCACTGGTTCATGGTTTAGGCAGCAGAAACTAATGTGACTTACCTTGAAACAGGCAAGCAGAAGATCATGGACCAGATCGCGCAGCTCAAGTACAAGGAACCCAACTCACCCAAGATCGTCGTTCTCGAGCAAGAGCTAGTCCGCGCTGAAGCCGAATCCCTTGTTGCCGAGGCACAGCTCTCCAACATCACTCGCGAAAAGATCAAGGCCGCCTACTCCTACCAGTTCGATGCGCTCAGGGAGCATTCCGAAAAGGTGGCCATCATTGCGGGTTACGGAAAACATCTTTTGGATCTGATTGACGATACCCCTGTGACTCCCGGAGAGACCAGGGCCGCCTACGACGGTTACGAGGCTAGCAAAGCCATCATTCAAGACTGCGAGGATTCTCTTACTAACTGGATTACCGCCAACGCGGCTGTCAACTCAAGCTTTCGGTCCGGGCGCGAACTTTGTCGCAGCGTCGCCGCAACCATATCCGAGCCCGAAGCCAGGGGCTGGATCTTTCCGGACAGGATGTCCCAATGAATGACCGAGGTTCGTGGGCGATGGCACGGAGCGACGACGAGGATGAAGAAGAAGAAGAGCGGGCCGACGTGATGGATGATAAGGAAGACCTCGACTCCGATGATAACCGCGAATCCGTCGCCTCGAGCGCCCGCGTTAATGGCAATGGGGAAGCGAGGGGCCGCAGCAAGGAGCTCATCATTTGATAAGGGTCGTCTGGATTCTCCTCGCAAATTGAACCGTGTGTGTAAAGTGGGATAATGGGATACTAATGGACCGTTGGATGTAATACAAGCTTGACTTGGACAAGGTTTTGGGAGCATTTTGCTTTGGGTCTTATGATATTGGGGATGGATTTCTTTCATGGGTACTAGGGTATTTGTATTATTCTAGAGTGAGTACACATAGCACACACCTACATGATGAATATTCGCCGCCCAGAATGTTGCTCTTAAAATTCCGCGTGGTGGAGCCTTCCTCGCCCCCGGAGATGGTGCATGGACAGTCCAATGGTAACGGCCTGCCTACCTTGTCCAAAGTCGCCTATGTGATGGGGACAGCTAAATAGTATCTTGCAAACGCAGGGCTCATTGGCTACCACGTATTCGGGGCCCGATTCAATGCGTAGCAACAGGCGGCGTGACTTGTTCCGTGCCATGCTGCCGTCCTCGGGGAGGCAGAGGGATCAGCCCGGGGTCGGCTGGGAGCTTCAGCTCCGGCGACCCAGTTCGAAATAAGAGGCAGGCGCAAAGCCATCTCCCTAAAGCCGCTGAGAAAAGCCGCCGAGTATTCATGGCCAAAGGCGTCCATCTTAGGGACTGCAGATCACCCCAGAGCGTTATGCTCAAACCTGAACCATCGGGAACGACGAACGGCCGCATCCATTCCACAATCCCACCATCCGCTCTCTTGTCGTTTCCATATCGGACGTAAATCTAAAAATGACTCTCCCGAGCTCCCCACATCCCTGGCGCCTCATCCGGGTGTGATGTGGAGCATATTCTCCCTAACGGCCATTCGTGAACAGGATACATCGCATCAACAAGGAAGGGCAAAGGAAAGCTCATCTCTTTGCCTTTTCTATCTCCGCGCGCTTCCTGAGGGCCTCGGCCGCAGCCGCGGAGGGTTTTGCGAGCTGGCTGGCAAACTCCTCGAGCTCAACTTTGGCGATGTGCCGGCCGGGTACAACGACAAGGCCCATGAAGCGCGACGTCATCGGGAGCTTCACTTTTCCCGACGCTTCTCCGCTAGTCTGGGCATCTACAGCATCTATGCGCTTTTGAACGGAGGGCTGACGGTATTCAAAGGTTTGCGAAAGGATAATGTTGCGATCCTAGAGAAGGGTTATACCGTCAGCTGCCAAAGCTGTGAGGGAGAAACGGGAAACACGGGGCCTCCTGCCCCCGTCCTGACATCGGCTCAGATGAGCCCGAATCAAGAAAAAGGAAAAAGAAGGGGAGACGGCAGGCGTCAGGGTTGTAGGGCGTTACCCACAGGGTCTATGCATCTGAACTGGCCCCAGAAGATACGGCCGTCTGTCGAGGTAACGCGCAGGTATTTGTTAATGAGTGAGCTTAGATAATCACGGGCCTCCTGGATCTCATTTTGCCTGGCTTCGCTCATCGAGTTCTCCATGGCCGCCAATGGCTTTCGTCTAATGAGAAGGGTGTAGACAACTTGTGCTGAGGGAAGGCCTTGGCTTTGAGGAGTGGAGAGATCAATTGATGGGGGTGGGAGGACAGCGCCAGCCGTTGATCGACGTTGAGAGCATGATTTTAGTAACCCCACTTCCGTGTGCGCTCTTTCAGCAGAGATGGTGGGGCAACACACGGCCAAGGCGGACCACGATCCAGATGGCTTAAACGTCCTCGAATTGATATCGATCCGAAGCAGGGATCGAATCTAATGAAGAAACCATGTCCCCGCCATTGTATAGCCGTACTTCACATAAAAACTGATTGGCTAATGGCCCATGAACGGAGAGCTTCCGTTCGGGGGCGTTCGGCTTGATTCTTGCCTGTGGATGTCTTCTCTCGAATGTTTGCAGCCCCTAGGCAGCGGAAAGCCCGCAGTGATATCACCAACAACAGATCATTGCTCGCGCATTTGCGCAGTTGAAGGTAATTGGGCTAATGGAGACTGGCTTCCATGGCAGATTCGTAATATTTTTGCGCCTTGGTGGCATTGGGGTGGCACCTTCTCATCTCCATCTGCGCATCGTCATCATCTCCCTTTCCTTCATTCGCTATTCCGGTGTGACTCCCGATCCGGAGTCCGCCTTATCTCTCACGATGTCCGCCCAGGCCATCTGGTTCGCGGATACATCACTGCCGGAGGACGCCTTTGGCCGCGCTTGATAATATAAAACCCCGCGCGAGCCCCTCCATGGGAAGGCGGCCTCTCAAAATGCAACGCGGTGCACCCCTCCTCATATCGGAGACGAGCTTCGTTCTCGTCTCTATGGGGTGACTGATATGCACGCCGCAGCTTGAGGTCATTTTTGGTTGATGACGGCCCCATATAAGGGCTCTATCCTTGCTTGCCGGGTTGGCATGACCGGCGCCACCTTGGCCCATCTAGCGGCCTGCATCCTACCTTGTGCTGACGCATGCCGAGGGAAGCCCACCTTCATTGTAGTTGTCTGATGCGCAATGAGAATTGGAAGCTCTTCTCCTGATTGTGCGCAAATTTCCTCACCCGCGGGGCATTAGTTGTTGCTGCTAATGCCAAGTCGAGCGAGAAGAAGCGTCCGGGACCTCATGAGTAGCCGTTCAATACTCCAGGCAGACGTGAGGTCTCCCGTCCTCTTGCACCAACTCTTGCACTTCTATAGTACCCTCTTTCCGAGCCAAGATTAATGCTCGCAAGGCTGCGCTAAAAGATCATGCATCGATGCATTCTTCTGCATAGCCAGCCCAGAATGTTCCTCACATCCCGATGGCCGCACCGTATTGGGCCAGCCCCGCACCATCCCGCGTGGACGGGGACCGACTTAGACTGACTCCTCACCACCTTCCGCCACCTCTGGGCTCTTCCTCCCCACCTCCCTTCCCACGCTGCCTACATGTACTCATAGAAACGCTCGGCGGACTCGGGACCGGTTCCTCAACTCATGATCAACCTGACCTTTGCGCATTTGAGCGTTGAATATTTGCGAGCGTCTAACTCCTCGTAGTGAACTTACCATTATAAGATCTCGACTGAATTTCTAGCTTCACCTTCACAACCTCTCGTTCATTCTCCCTTACCCCAAGCCTCTCGCAGAGCCCCCACCAGACTAGGAGCTCTCCTTAAGAGACTGCCCGGCGGACACCAACGCGCTCACTTATCTAGGGCCGTTCCCAAGAATGCGTGTTGTGTGCAACATTCTTTCTAATTCCTAGAGGAGCCAACTTCCAAAGCATGTTACAGGACATCTTCAGAGGATCACATCTCAAGCCATACTACCCGTCTATCGGCTATCAAGATTGTGCAGAAAGATTGTCAACAAAGGCAATATCCGAGTGGCATTTCGGGTTCGTTCCTGAAAAGCCGTTTGTGAGCTCTAAACTCACTTATAGTCGGCGCATCACGAGGCTTGTAAGAAGCATGAAAGGTGCCGCGACTAAGAAGTCCCGCACCGCAAGCACCGCAGGCCAGCCGACGTCAAGCCCTCTTCGCGTCGCTCAAGATGTATCCATTCCTGCCTGTCCCTTTCCCCTCTCATTTACGGCGGGCTAACCCTAAGATATCTAGACACCCTCGGTAAGCCAGGGAAGCGCGGATTCCGTTGAGGTTGCGAGGAGGGCTAGCGGAGAGTAAGTTTACAACCTGGTTATTGTCTTCCCTACCCCTTCTTCTACAACCGAACGGGATATTATGCTGATGATAGGTCGTGTCAGAGAAGATAGAGGCCCACCGGACTCATCAGCTGATCCTACTTTGTCAGATCAGTCCGATCAGTCTGCTTTGGTACGGCGAAAGGCTCAAATAGTCAACAATGTCATGGCAGCTCTGATGGAATATATCAACACCGTTTTACCACCACTTCAAGAGTGCGATAATAACAACCGCTCGAGGGGCACTTCTCAAAGGAAAGGCAACACAACGGCCAGCGGGGCGGGTTGCTATGATGGTGGCGGCGACGACAAGGAAGGAAATGGCAGTAGGAGATCCAACAAGCGCCAGCAGCGAGATGAATCTCCCGACGGCGAAGATGCTGGAAGTGGTGAAAAAGGCGGCGGGAAAGGCCCCAAGCGTGCGCGACGGGATAGTGGTGACGGAGAACCAATGTTCGCGTGCCCCTTTTACAAGCACGATCCATCCAAGTGCACTAAGAGGGCTTGCGCCTCACCTGGATTCCCAACCATTCATCGTCTCAAGTTAGTCCCTGGCCGAAGAGCACCAAATTTCCGATTCCCACTTGCTAACAACTAATTTTAGGGAGCATATCTACCGCACTCACAAGATCCCAAAGCACATCTGCCTACGATGCAGGGAGGATCTGAGAAGCGAGCAGGAGCTTGGTGCTCATCTCCGTGCGGATAAGCGGTGCGAGAAGGTGGACCACAGGCCGTGGTATGGCATCACTGAGGCCCAGGAAGCCTTGATTCGTGCCCGCCCCGCCCGCCCGGGTAAGGAAAAGGGAAGTGAGGAGGAGAGATGGAACGAACTCTATAAGATTATTTTCCCAGACGCCCCTGACATGCCCACCCCTTGTAAGTGTACCTGGAGATACTCTGCCGCTTGTTCTATCGACATCGGGTTCTAGGGAAAGGGCCATACACTTACGTTATTATTCTAGATTACGATGAAGCCCGGTCTCTTGCTGGCCTGCAACAATATCTCCGCCAGGAGCTCCCACCTTTGCTTCGTCAAGAGCTTGAAGAGGAAGTTGAGAAGAAGCTGAGCGTAGTTGAGGCTGATATGAAGCACAACGCGATAAATGCGATTCGACGACTGGCCTGTAGCCTAATCCAATCGTATACTGACAAGAGACAAAACAAGAAGGCCTCCAGCCCTAGGCCAAGGTTGGGGTCGAGGTCTAGGTCAGAGTCAAGATCAAGGTCGCAAACCGAGGTTCCAGAGCTTGCTTATCCCGACACGACTGAGTGGGTTGGCATTGCTTCTGACGGGCCATCCTACGAGGAGCCTGGCCTCTTATTCCAAGACGTGGGCCTGTCCGAGCTTGACTACGGTCTGGATAGCCTGCTAGAGCATGCGCCCTTTTACGGAGACCACAGCGGTGCAACTATTGACGGCCACTGGTAATATTAGGCTTACCACTCCGCATTTGCTATCATAGGCGGCCTTGCGCCCCGCCCCCCTTCTTTCATCTCCCTGCCCTCTTTTTCTTTTGCCCCTTTAAGGTCAAGCTGTGCTTCTTTGCCCGTTTCCTATCTGGTTAATTCTCTTGAAAATTTGGCGTGTCTCTCAACAGTCCGCTTGAGGTACCAAAGGGTTAAGATTACTAGTTGACAGGCTTGATGACTCCTTATCGGCATGATTCACGGAGTGCAAGCTTGTGTTTAGTCGAGATTGATCAAGTGCCCTATCCGGCCTGCTAGGAGCAAGGCAAAGACGAATCCATTGTATTTGTTAGGAGGGAATGTTTCCATTGTAGCTGTATGCGTCGAACAATTAAATGATCAATAAAACTGTGTTTGTTGAGACTCCGAGCAACAGTCGCACCTTCAGGCTGACTTGACTGGCTTGTTGTTATTGAGAGCGCTCGAGTGCTGAGGGTCGTGCGGTTTGAGTAATCGCTGCTCTGGACCGTACCTACTCCGATCAATTGTCATCTATGCCGGACAGCCACATTAAACCTGAGCCCCACCACTGATGTCAGCTCTCGGCCCCAGGCAGCTCCGGGTCGGTCACGCCTGCCTTCAAGATGAACCCGTGAATTTCCTCATTGCATCGACATCACAACTCTCTCACCACAACCCAACCTCAACACTTAAGAATAAAAACCCCCGGCAAGCGCTGCTGACTTGGTTCTGCGTTACCTTGGCACTATGTGCTAGGACTTTCCTGCCGCTTGAAATCGGCCTAGCAAGCCATTTCTGATCAGCCGTTGGTTTCGTTGCACAACAACGGCAACCGAGAATTCACAGGAGCCCACCCCCAAAGTAAATATTTCGAGGGTAATCGGCCCTCGACTCCATCGATGAAATGGGTGTAAATGGCCTCTGGCAAGTAGTGCAACCTTGCGCACGCCCTACGAATCTCGCTACCCTCAACCGCAAGCGCCTAGCTGTCGATGCCTCCATCTGGATCTACCAGTTTCTCAAGGCTGTGCGAGATAAGGAGGGTAATTCGTTGCGAAACTCCCACGTCGTCGGCTTCTTTCGTCGTATATGCAAGCTGCTATGGTACGGAATCCTTCCCGTCTTCGTCTTCGATGGCGGCGCGCCCGCCCTGAAAAGACAAACCATCCTTGCACGGAAGAGGAGGCGTGAGGGCAGACGTGAGGATGCCGTAAAGACCGCAGGGAAGCTTTTGGCTGTGCAGATGCATCGCCGTGCCGAAGAAGAAGAAGCGATCCGCAAGAAAAAGGAAGCCGCAGGACCGATGCCCGTAGACGAGAACGAGGAGCCTCTACCTGACATGAACAACGTCGTGTATGTCGAGGAGCTAGGCATGTCCAAGCAGGAGAGAATGAGGAACCGCAAGTTTCACAAGCAGGATCCTTACCACCTACCCACTATAGATACAAGTCTTGCGTCCATGGCGCGGCCTGAGGATCCACGCATCATGAGTATCGAAGAACTTGAGGAGTACGCACGCAACTTCAATTCTGGGGAGGACATCAACCTTTACGATTTCAGCAAGATCGACTTTGGCGGCGACTTCTTCAAGAGCCTTCCCTCTGTTGACAGATATAATATTCTAAACGCAGCGAGGTTAAGAAGTAGGCTGAGGATGGGTTTGAGCAAGGAGCAGCTCGAAGACATGTTCCCCGACCGTATGGCCTTTTCGAGGTTCCAGATCGAGCGAGTGAGAGAGCGAAATAATCTTACACAACGTCTCATGCAAGAGGCCGGAATGACCGGACTTGACCTTACGATTAACGGTAGCGGCCGCATCGCGGGCGACAAGGACCGCGAGTACATCCTCGTGAAGAACGAGGGAGCAGAAGGAGGTTGGGCGTTGGGGGTCGTGAGCAAGGATAGGGACCTCGGCGAGAGCCACAAGCCGATTGACGTGGATGCTCTCCAGTTTGAGTACCAGAAAAAGAGCGAACCGGAAGAGGATGATGAGGATGATTTCGAAGACGTGCCCATCCCGGGTTTAAATAGATTGCCGCCCATCAACCAGAATACTGGCCCCGTTTCCGCCGCCGCAGATTTGGAAGCGAGAGAGAGATACGTACGCCAAAGGCTCCACGACTTTACGACGAACGATGGCAATGCCGAACCCCTCGACGAAGATCCCGATTCCCTTTTCGTCGGCCAGGACATTGACGACCCCCAATTTCCCATTGGCGGAGAATCCGGATTATACACGGAAGAGGAAGATGATATTAACAAAGCAATTGCCCTTTCCTTGCAAAGCCAGCATGGCATCGGAAATCAGCCTGAGTCATCCCTGGGAGAGGGCGAGCCAGAGGAACCTGAGATAGCCGCTCCGGTATGGAAGCAAAGAGCAGCCGAAACACCCACAAACCCCATCATGACAAAGAGCGGCCGGATGGTAGCCCATATTGTCAACAATCGCGCCAATGCGGCTGTTGCGCGACAACGTGTCGTTAATACTAGGCCAGGCAACGAGGGTGACAGCGACAGCGACAGCAGCGTTGACCTACAAAGGACATTAGCTAAGAGCAACAAGTCTCGTAAAGAAAAGCCCGGAAAGTCTGACCCCAATGCATCGAATCCCTTTGGTGGCCCGCTTCCCTTCCCAAAGCTGGATTGGCAGCCAAGTCTGTTTTCAAAGCGGAGCGCTCCAAACCCCCAAACCACCTCAGCACAACCTAGAAAGCGCCGACGGGGATGCCGCCATGGACGAACTCCCAGGTGGGTTCGAGAGAGAGCCGCATGACGACAAGGCGCCCAAACCACTTCCACCCTGGCTCGTTCATGATGGTGACATACGCGACTCGCTGAAACACCAGAAAACCTTGCAGGAAGAGATGAACGCAGAAGATAGGGATATGGCGATTGAGAAACAGCAAGAATGGGAGCGGCAACAAAGGGACGAAATCCTCGAGATATCATCGTCTGATGAGGAGTCGAATGACGTTGAACTAGTTGAGGATCCGACTTCGCTCCTTGAAGACATCCCTATTGACCCTGCGCTCACTATGTCGGGAGCTATATCTTCGGAGGCGACTCTAGAGGTGGCCGCGCATGCCTCACCTGATTCCCCAGAGCCGGAATTTGAGAACGTGGGGATTTTAAACGAGGCGGCAGCCGCTTCGGTTCCACCAACGCTGACCGTCGAAATCACCTCCGACTTAGAAAAGCGAGCTCCCCAGGGTAGCCTTCATCCTACCGAGGAAATGATGCTTCCAACGAGAATGAGTGCCAAGCCATCGCCTGAAGCCAAAAGTGCAGAGCCTAGTACGAAAAACGATGATTTTCTTTTCAACGACGACGATGATGCTAGTGTTGAAGACGACGAGGAAGAGTTTAGCGACCCAGAGGAGGCCGAGCTCTTAGTACAGATGGAAGCAGAGGCGCAAGAGCATGCCCGATTCGCAAGCGAGCTGAACAGCAAATCCACGCAAGAAAACCTGAGAGACTACGAGATGGAGCTTCGGCAGCTTCGGACACAGCAGAAGAAAGACCGGCGAGATGCCGACGAGGTCAACAGCACAATGGTTGCGGAATGCCAAGCGCTCCTTGGCCTCTTTGGTATCCCATACATCACGGCACCGATGGAAGCGGAGGCTCAATGCGCCGAGCTGGTAAGCTTGGGGTTGGTAGATGGTATTGTCACAGATGATTCGGATATCTTTTTGTTTGGCGGAACGAGGGTTTACAAAAATATGTTTAGCACCAATAAGTTTGTCGAGTGCTACTTGTCCTCCGATCTAGAACGGGAGATGTCTCTCTCCCGAGAGCAACTCGTATCCCTAGCGCAGCTTTTGGGATCGGATTACACGGAAGGGCTTGCGGGTGTCGGACCCGTCACAGCAGTCGAGATCATCTCCGAGTTTTCTGGGCCGACAGGACTCGATGATTTTCGAACCTGGTGGGACGATGTCCAGTGCAACAACCGGCCTAGGGAGGCCGACGCAGACAAGCCATTCCGCCGAAAATTCCGCAAGTCACAGGCTACGAAGCTCTTCCTGCCACCGGGGTTCCCCAGTCCGGCTGTCACCGAAGCATATCTCGAACCAGAGGTTGACCATAGCAACGAGGCGTTCCAGTGGGGAGTCCCGGACGTAGAGGGCCTACGGCAGTTCTTGATGAACACGATTGGGTGGGGCAAAGCCCGGACGGACGAGGTGCTGTTACCCGTCGTCAAGGACATCAACCGAAGGGAGATTGAGGGAACACAGGCCAATATCACGCGGTTCTTTGAGGGCAGTGTGGGGACAGGGCGCCTAGAGGCATTTGCGCCGAGGCAGAGGACAACGACAAGCAAGAGGATGACGGATGCGGTCAGCAAGCTAAGGCAGAGAACATTAGTAGATTCTATGGGGGTGCAGACGGAAGCCAGTGGTCAAGGCCCCAGTACTAGTGTCCCGGCCGTTACCAGTCGTGCTAAGCAGCCGCGCAAGCGGCAGAGGCGGGATACGGCGATCGAGGAATCTGATGAAGACGGCCCCGCTGAACACGAGGACTCCGCGGACGTTAACAAGAGGAGTGGTGCCGGGCGTGGCAAGAAGGCTAGGGCTTGATACATAAGATCCCCTCTAGGCCGCATTCAGATGTATGATTCTTTCACGCTAGCCCGTCCTGTGAAAAGAGAAAAATGGCCAGAAAAGGGATCGAAGTATTATTACTTGTAGATGGTTCAGTGAACGCCAGCCTACCAACGACTGACTTCTAATACATTAATACATCCATTAAGAACACTTTATCGAGGGAATTGTCTCCCCGCATCCACTTGAAGCTTGACTGGAGGGGTGGTCCCTGCGACCAAGTCGCTTGGCGCACGTACTTTGATAATTGAGAGCCGAGCCCATGCCGAGCCCGCCCAAACCACCCACCCAACCCAAATTGATGGAGTTCTCAGCGGCTGTTCTTCCGAGGGACCCTCCGACGTGAACGGCTCACGGCAATGTCCGGCGCGGGCCTCCGCAATTATAAGAGTCCCGCCCCTCACTTGAGTTTTTAGGTCCATTTGGAGTTGGCAGAAGCTACTCCTCAGGCGGGGTCGTTTCGTCGACATATTCCACATTGGCTTGCCTGGACGAGCGGTACAAAGAATTTAGGGAAGAGCAGCACTGCGATCCTAAGATTTCTTGCGAATGGTGTGGTATGAAGGGAGAGGGGTTTGTCCTCCATACATCCATTTTTGTTTTCAGGACACATCACTCTCGAGCTCAAGAGGGTAGCCAAGGGAGCTTGAATGTTGACTCAGCTCTTCACAGGCCGAGAGGGTGCACAGTACGTAGCAATGGTATTTCGCACCATGGTTGGATGGTGTGTTTCCTCCTCACGCTTGTGGACTAGCAGACTAGCTCGGCGTGTTTCTTCCCTGAAAAGAAAGCCGAAAACTCGTCACCGCGGCTCAGTCGAAGGCGGGCCCCACTCTTTCTTCTGGCTCGGTCTTCTTCTCCAACTCTGGCTCTGGTTCCCCGGATTCTTTGCGGGTGGGCCAGAGAAAAAGAAAAAGATAAAAAAAGAAAAACGGAGGACTAAGAAAAGCCGAGCTTGTAATGGTAGGCGAGAACGCCGCTGTGGCTAGTTATGCTTTTGCCACCACCTTCGACGAGTGGATTTTCTCATGATGACAGGATTCTTTCTCCCTGACTTCCTCGACCCAGCGCTTCTTGGGCAGAAATTCATCGGTTTGTGATCCATGTAGAATTTGATCCTGAATTTTCAGGAGGGTTTGCATTTCATTTCGTATTTGCTGTTTGAGGGGAAAGAAAAAACAAAGGACTGAGGGTTGACTGGCCAAGTTGATTTGTTTTCTTGGGATCGCTCAGGCCGAGCCTCCAAGATTTCAACGTGGCTGACCAAGCCAGTCAGCGGCGTGCACAACACGCCCAACAGCCACGGACGGGGCCGAAAAATAATACCGAGGCAGAGAAAGGAGCCAGTGCCAACGGGAGTCTCCATCACCCCCAGTCACATTGCATCTGGACCTCGCTTCCCATTCAATTACCTCCGTACCAAAACTCAACCTCCATCGACTCCCTCCGCTCATCCTCCCTCCCTCCAAGCACCGACTGGAATCCTGTTCCTTGCTTCCTAATTCTCCTTTGTTTGCATTTCGAGATTTTTTTCTTCTTTGCGGCGAACCATCCTCCGAGCGAAATAACCCATCCTCCGCCCTTGCTTTCGTGTGCCTCGAAAATACCCCGAATCACGTTCTTTTGCGTCAATCCCACACCCCAAACAGCCGAAGTCTGCGGCTCGACGCAACGAACATCTCGAACACCCTCCTATCGCCTCCTTCCCTTTGGGATCCGAGACTCGAGGCGACGAGTCACGAAGAGAGATCGAGCGACAGTTCTGACGGATTATGGCGTCGCCGCCTAAGCCCTGGGAAGTATCGGGCGCCACAACCCTCTTGGTGAGTTCATTCTTCACGTGCATCCACGGCCACCACGCGATATCGAAGAAGACTTGTTTTTATCTGGTTTCCTTCCACCCTCATACCTAGATATCCTTCCACCTTGCCCATTAGCTTTGTTATCTTGGCCGAGAACTAACTTTGGACGACGACGCCCACAGCATCTGTACCAACAATGGATCCATCCATGGCTACCGGCCAACCCACACCAGTCGCCCCTGGCGCGCCTGATCTCCTGAGCGACCCTCGTCCTTGGCCTCCGCGGTAAATCAAAATGCGGCGGCCTACAGCCGTGTCGGTATGGGAATGGGGATGGGAGCTAGCCCCTACGGCTCAACTTACCAGTCGCCATACTCAAGCCCTTACTCTACGATGGGCGGCGGCTACGGTGGCTACGGCGGTAACATGTATGGTGGTGGCTATGGTGGTGGATATGGCGGCTACGGCCGTGGTATGTACGGAGGAGGGCATGTATGGCGGTATGCCCGGCAACGATCCCAACAGCCTCGCAAACAGCTTCAACCAGAGCACCGCGGCCACTTTTCAAATGCTTGAAGGTGTAGTGGGCGCTTTTGGTGGCTTCGCGCAAATGCTAGAGAGCACATACATGGCGACACATTCTAGCTTCTATGGTACGTATCCCCTTGTTTGTTCCTATCGCCCCGCCCCCTCTTTCCATTGATGATTTTCAATCGCACTGCTCCATCAGGCCGGCAGTCGAGAGAACCTGCAGCTAACATATTTGAACCCCTTTACAGCTATGATTTCGGTCGCCGAGCAGTTTGGCAACCTCCGTGAGACCCTAGGCTCGATATTGGGTATCTTTGCCATCTTGCGGTGGATTAGGACGCTGATTGCTAAGCTGACGGGGCGGCCACCTCCCGCGGATGCGACGGCCCTAACCCCGCCGCATTTTCCAAGTTTGAAGGCCGCGCGGGGCCCAATGGCGCGCCCGCGGGCCCTAAGGCTAGCCGCAAGCCTCTCTTTTTCTTCATTGCGGCGGCCTTTGGCCTACCCTACTTGATGAGCAAGCTTATCCGAACGCTCGCTGCATCCCAGGAGGAAGAAGAGCGCAAGCGACTTGCGGCTAGCGGCGAAGATAGGCTAGATCCCTCTCAACTTGAGTACTGCCGCGTGTTATACGACTACGTACCCCAGACGCAAGCTGGTGCGGCGAACGGCGTCGACTTGGAAGTAAGGAAGGGCGATCTCGTCGCGGTCCTTGCTAAGACGGATCCCTTTGGTGCGCCCAGCGAATGGTGGCGGTGCCGGACCCGAGATGCCCGCATGGGGTACCTTCCTTCGACCTACCTCGAGATCGTGAGGCGGCCTGGCGAGATCAAGGCCCCCAGACCCGTCGCGGCGATCAAGGCCACGGCTGCTAGCGACAGCAGCAGGACCAACTCTCTTACTAGCTCTGGCGAGACGGTATCGACGATTCAGTCGCCACCCACGCCCACCGGCATTTCGCGACCCCTTGTCACGGCGAAGCAAGGACCTCTGCTCACGGTTGACGATTTCCAAAAGAGCCAGTTTTACTAAGTTGACTTTCTACTCCCAAGATTGACATGACGACCTGAAGAAGACAAAACGAGCCGGCGAGATTGAGCGTTTGGTCTTCCGAGCATCCGGTTCCGTTACACGAATCTGGGTTCTTAATTTTTTTATCTTATCCCCTACGAGAGAAACAGCCGGAGGATCGACAATTTAGAGCGGACGGGACTTCTGTCCTCAGCGGGATCGCGCACCCCCTTGGAGTACATAATAACCTTGTTACATCATAAATACCCTGCGACAACCCCGAGGCAGCCCTACCAACATTTTCCTGTGTATATCAACAACATCGAGATAGCGACCACAAAAATATGTTCGCAAAGATGGGTGAGGGGAGGACGAGGTGATAAGTTTGGCGGGAGAGAGGCCCACATAAAGGGAAACAAGGGAGAGCAGGGGACGGAGAGGGAAGTGGACGTTTTCGGGCGTCAAGTTTCAATGTAAAATGAGATGGGGGAAGACAGACACACTTGCATTGTTCGCGATGGACAGGGAGAACAACTTGACGGCACTCGGTTCCGTTTATATTTTCTTGTTGGGTGAAACGGGAAACCCACAACAGCCTGGAGTTCTAGGATCCAAATCGTATTTTTTTCCCTTTCACTTCTTCTCTTCCTATCAATCATCATCACCATGTTCCCTATCACTATCATTATCAGCAGCATTTCTTGCGCGTTACCGCCTTTATACTGCAGACTTGGGTCGGTTCCGTTCGTTTTCGGGCAAGTGAAAAGAAGGGACTGTTTGGTGATTTATGAAATTCCTATCTCGGTAGAATTTGTACAAAGTTCCGAGATCACGGTGGGCGTCGCGAGTGCTTGATATCGTCCCTGCCAACGGGCAATACACGTAGAGTAATAAAGCTTTGAGAATCGCAATCCCACGATACATATAAACCCCCTACCATGAGAGCTTAGAAAGTAAAGGAGCAACGTCCTATATAAGAGAGGTAGGTATATGCGAGACAAAAAGAAGTAAACCAACAAGAAAGAAGGAGAGGCCAAAAAGAAGAAAAAACATACAACACCGGGGATTCGCTGGTCGTCACCGACCCAACTACTAGTCCGGCGCTTCGCAGCTTGTGTACAGGGGAGCGGACGGGACCCTCAATTATCTGCGAGCTATGGTCGTATGTGCTTATTCTCTGCGGCAAAGATGCCTATAAACCCAAAGGACCTCTCCTCCAAAGGGGTTTTCCCCGTCAGTGACGTCTTGTGTGTGAAGCCCGTCTCTCTACGCCGGAACACGGCTCCTCTAGCGTCTTTAAAAACGAGCCTCCTTATGAACCCTTGTAGCCTACATTCCTACAACAGAGGAGCTCGAGACACGCACCACTAAGACCAATCAATACTTGAGATTAGGCGAGTGTCTAAGAAGGCTTGAATGGATCCAATTCCATTGATCCGTTGGTATCGGCCAACTATGAGCATCGTCAGTGAGCGGCGCGGTTGCTCGTTTTTCTCCCATCTTCCTTTCTTGAGCCCCGGCCCCTCCTGCCTTGCGGCACCGGTAGGAAGACAAGTATACGGGAGACAAGAGGATCTATGGCTATCCAGCGGGAGATCCTAGGTGCGATCACAGCGCACCATGCAACCTGGGGGCGGTTCGTAAGCAAGAGATGAACACGAGGTTTGGAAAGAGACAGGCCAGAAGTCGATGGGGCCCTTGCCCACTACACTAGAGCCAACACCAATACACCACACGTGGATAAATGAGATTGACACGCCGTGGTTGTGTGTAAGACGGGGAGGGTTTCTTGACTCTCGGCAGGCAGTGCCGGTCCGACAAAAGGCCGTTGGAGGGAAGGAGGAAAGACGAGTGGTGCGAGAGGCGCATTGTGCTTATTTCTCATGTACAAGTATTATGCAGTAGCCGAGGTCAAAGGAGCAACTATTGACACGCCAGACACAGAGAGATCCCTTTTCCGTCCGATGTCCTTCCTTTCTCAATGCTACGCTAAGCAGCCGACCATCCACACACCTGCGCGACCGCGAGAGAACAAGCCAGGAATATGCTCTTCAGCGAGCATTATTATCATCAGGACTGAGGGACAAAAAGCCACTCTCCATTGAATGTGGATATAGTACTCCTGCAGGACGTCATACCCTAGGCTCTTTCTTTGTGCACATACCCTCTCTCTCTCTCTCTCTCTCTCTCTTGACTACCGAGGTATTTGGGGAGGGAAATAGTGCCAGTTCGACTGAGACATTGTGCTCGGCGTAATGTGGTTCGAAACACAAAAGAAGGAAACATGATAGCGAGCTTGAGGGGAGGAGGCTAGTCAAACGGACTTGGGGTTTCCGACGAGACAAGGAACCTGTCAGGCACGCGAATGTCCAGACGTTGTGCACAAGTCTAGTTGGAACATGTTGTGTTTGACGGGCGGGAATTGGGCCAGTTAGTTTCCTACTACTTCGTATGCAGAAGAAGACGTGTGTGTGTCCTCTAATAGTGGCCTTGCCAATCACGAGAATTCGCGATCAGCCCGCAAAAATCTCGACCCGTGCCCCGACGCCACTGTGCCTGATTCTCAAGGAGAGGATACAAAAAAGTATCATGCAAGACTCGCCATGGGGAGGAATAATGTACATTGTCGATGTTTTCAGAGAGAGCTGCTGGAGGGACAGCCAAAAACACAGGGCACTTCAGATGCTGCCGTCGCGTGGAGCTCGTGAGGAAGCCGTGATCCGTTCGAACCCTGAACCCCAATCCAGCCCTTCAGCTCAAGCAAAATCCCTGGTCGCATGCAGACGGGCAAAAGTATGTTTGAAAAGCGCATTAACCATTGATCGGACGATCCACTCCCGCGCTCCGCGCGCCGCTGGCCACTCCAAAAATGGAAAAATACGAGCCCCTCGCACAGAGGTAGGACCTAGACCCTCTCAGCTCGTTTCGTCCCAGAAGGACGCATCAAGGGCAAACAGAGGGCGCTGAAAGTGCCAAGGGGGAACATTGAAACCTTGTTGTTGTTTCTTTTTTTGCTTCTTTTCTTCTTTTTCCTCCTTTTTGTTTCTTCCTTTTAGCACTCGGTATAGACAAGTGGAGGAATGAGGCAAACAAGATGACATTCCTGAGAGACGACGAGAGCTACACGAGAAGAAACACGAAAAAAAAAAAAAGAGAGCTAAGATGCGCTTGGCGTGATGCCTTTAACCCGGCCCTCAACAAGCTTTGGCCACCCCACATCCCAGGTACGGGACGACAGACCATTGATGCTTCGAGTTGTTTCGTTCCTTTTCAGCCCAAAAACGAATGGATGAATTGCCCTGTGGGTTATTGGTGCACACTACAACGCGCTAGTGCCTGGCCGATCTACCCATGCACGACGAGAGAACCGAGGGGAGAGAGGGCACCAGAAGAACAAGAAGAGAAAAAAGGATCAATAGGTAGCATTGTGCATTGGTGACATGCTCCCCAATGCTCCTTCGTAATAATCCTCATCCCAAGCTGAGCTCCTGCTGCCTAGTCCAGCCTTGCCCTCGTTCGTTTCTTGACTCCCAAACGGAGTTCGTTGCGGTCTCCAGCATCACACGAGGCCAACATCAGTCAGTCTCAAGACCAGTGCCGTTACAGAGGGTATTGGGTATTCAAGTCCATGAGCTCTTAGACCACCCGTACGGAGTCCGCTTGCCATGTGCTCGCTTGAATCCACCGAGATGACAAAAGAGCAGAAGGGGGAAAAAGGGCCGTACCTCGGGATGAAGATCGGGTCGATGCAGCAGCTCAGCCATCAGCCGAGAGCCACGCCGGCAAGAAGCACGCCCCCGTCGTTAACATGGCCATGTAATCAATAAATTCGCCCCATTCATCAAACGCATCGAATGCTTCGCCCTCTGCTGAAATGCATTGAGGAGGGAGGGGGACTCTAGTACGTCACAGTCCATCTCCCGAGGGAAGATCAGTCCAGGAATGAACCAAACAATATTTTAGCCCTGCTCCCTCTTTCTTTCTTTCTGCCCTCTTCTCGTTGGCCCCCTCTCGATGCTTTACTTGTGACTTCCCGCCTCCCCACCCCCTGGTCTCCCCTCCCCCATTCCTCAGTGCCGGGCTGCCGGGATGGTCCTCCAGAGTGCGAAAACAGGCGAAGCGGGGGCCTTTTACACCAATCGCTAGATGTATTGCCGTGAGACCCCCTTTCGTGCAGGCTTTCACTCCCTCCCCGATAGATTCGCCGGGTTTTGTTGCGTGATACTTACTTTTCGTTTCTTCTCTTTTGCTTTTTGTCTCTCCCGGCTCGCCAAGGAGGCAAAGCCCTACCTGTACCTTGAAAATAGAATACCAAATCAAGAAGAAGACTCAAACATTGGGCGTCAAAGGAAACAGGATTCAAACACGGTCTTGGTGTCGATGGAGGCAGGGGAGTGGATGGCTGGGCATGAAGCCGGAAAAGAAGAGGGGATTGCGAAGGACCTTGATGATAACCAGCCAATGTCTCGGACGGGCTCAAACAGATAGGATGGAAGTCTCATCCTCGATCTATTTTCCAAGTAACCCTACCCTCCTTGCGGAATAGTACCATGTCCATCACTCCGCTGACTCGTAGATGCGGGCCTGCCAGGGAGCGTGCAGCAAGCCAGCGTCGTTCTCGTGTCACGAGCTCGTCCTCTCTCCGTGCTCCAGGATGTCGCCGCCGAAGCCTAGGGCGGCTGATATCCCCGATCCCTCATAAACAAAGCGGCCCTGCCTTAGCCCGCATTTTCTATTTCCTCCACATCCCTTAGATCGGTCTAGTTTGGCTGTCCCCCTCCTTAGTGTCTTCTCTCTCGTATTTGAACCACCACCGCCACCACCACCACCACCACCACAGTACTTGCCGACTTGCGTGCCTGAGCCTGAACTCGCTCGGACTCGATCTCAGCCCTATAAGCACTAACACACTCCCACCTCCGCCCCGTCCACGTACCCGGCCTTCAAGTTGCCAAGACCTTTCTCGTCCCAACTACAACCATCAGAATTGCCATCTTCGTTCCTTCTTTCTCTAATAACACCTTCACCCTTGGCTGTCAGAATATCCGTGACCACATCGCCTTTGGATCACGTTCTGCTCGTCTCCGAATCGTATTTGACCCAGCTGTATTCTACCACAGTCCGTCTCGCCCTTGGAGGACCTCATCATGAAGGCCACCCTCTTCATCTCCGCCGCCCTCTCACTCGGCAGTCTTGCTAACTCCAAACCCGTTGGCCTGCCATGCCCGGATGTAAGCCTCGCTCCCTCGGCCTCCCTCCTGGTCCCTCGGCCACCACATCACCCACACCTCTCTCCCCCTTTTGTTTCCCAGCTCCCATCCTGACTGCTAGCGCATAACTAACACTTTGACCGCTCTCTCTGTCCAGAAAATCATCGATCAGATCCTCAGCGGCAAGATAGGAGCCGAGATCTGCTGTCCCTATGGCATCTGCAAGGGCGACGTTGTTGTGAGAATGGTGTAGACGGGTCAAGCGACGCGAGGCGTCATATTCACAGCGCCAAACCACCATATGGCAAGCCGAGTCACGATATATCTCTGAAAACGCTCCAGCACATCCACGTCGCCAAACCGACGATCTTTTGAAAACAGAAAATATCCCAACCACCGATGAAGACAGGGTGGCACCATCCGATATAATCTGCTAAACCGCACCGCCCACCTTGTTAGCGAGAACGAGAAGAGGAAACGGAAAGGAAGCCGTCGGAAGTGTACCCTTCACGATACTCCCTCGAGCTAGATCGGCTGCGCAAAAACGGGATAAAACTCCCGAGCGACCCAGGGTCCCACGCTGCACGGTACCTGTTACCCCCAGGGTGACTGCGAAAGGCCCTTGGCCACGAGCGACCATGCGACGACCGAAGAGCGATCAGCGAGCTTCACAAGTCCAGTCCGAACCCGAGTTCTAGTAACCACCGCCAAGCCTCCCGAGCAGCTCCAGGTCTTTTAGACGTCGAGCGTAGACCGTGGGGGCGTGGAGAGCATCGAATGGCTGGTCCAGGCATCGTTGTCAAACCAGGGCCGTATTGAATCCCGGCTCGTCTGTTCTCGCGGATGGTGTACCTTTTGAGGTGGGGACCCATCCGAGCAAAGATGGTCCCACGAGGCAAAGTGTAAATGGATTTTTGCAGAAGCAGAAGGAAAAGCGAGGGTCGAGAAGAGAAATCTCTGGCCACACGGCTCACGCCAAATCATTCCCTTTGTATAAGACTTGTTAGTAGATTGTATGTACGATAAAATTGAAGAAATCCATCCAAATTCCATGATCCTCCTTGGTCCATGAATACAATCCTTCGGCTCCGTCAACGTCTTTTCCAGCAGCTCGCTTTCTCGCTCTTGCTTGCATGGCTCAGCTTTCGGGCCCTTGTAAACCACGATAGCAACGGTCCCCCGCAACGTCCTAGACTACGCTCTGCATCCTTCCTGTATCTCTTTTTCGCCCTTTTGGCCCGGTTTCCAGACGCCCGAAAGACTTCTGGTATATCATCCCCGTTTCGCAGGGTTTGCCCGAGCTGTGTTTCATTCACAGAAAACCCGGAAAGATCCATAGATGCCTCTGCAGGCCAACGGAGATGTGTCTGGGCGGGTATGTTGGATCTATCATTGAAGGGCAGGGCCCGGAACGGGACAATCGTGCAAAGCCGAGGTAATTCCAGTGACCAAGGAATCCTCGCCTTGGAAACAACCTATCTTGGAGGGACCGACGAGCTGTCGGATATATAAACTAGAGAACGACGACGAGTAGTGCGAGAAAGCCGTAAAGCCGGAGTTTTGAGGTAAGAGGGCTGCCTGCACGTAATCGGGCCCAGCTCTAATGGGAGCGCAAGGATGCGACAAAAGGATCGTCTCCTTTTTTCTTATTCTTTTTGGACCGCGAAGTAAACCTGCGTCATCTCGGGGAGAGTTTACCTGCCGAAGACTCCAAAACGAGCCAACCAGAGGAAAAAAAAAAAAAGAGGTAAGAAACCAAGGTCCAAATCTTCAACGATGATTCGGTCGCATGGCCCAAGAGACTGGAGGAATTGAAATCCCAAAAGAGGGTCCGGCCCCATCGGGGGTTTTGGTACCAAGCAACGAGACAAAACACTAGCGTAATGCAACGATGGAGCGCGGCAGCTAGTTCGGTGAGGAGACCAGGGAATTTTCTTTCTTTCTTTTTTACCTTCTTTTCTTTTCGAAATCGACACCGGAGCGAGGAATGGATATTGGATGCCAATCGTGCTGCACAAGTGATCAAACACAAAGTCCTAGCAGATGCCCAATTCGTTGGCGAGGCCAGGCGAAGTTACCCCCTCCACTGCTTCCCTCCACCCCACCTTCCGAGATATATTGTTCAATGTTCCTGTTTACGGAGGGAGCTGCGGGGCATGCGCGGCCGTTGGAGCGGAAGAAGGAGCACTTGAGAGGAAGGGCTGGCCTAGGCCCCCTTCTGGCCAGTTGTGGTTTCCTCCATATCAGCTCTCGGAAGAGCTCATGTTCGGGCCTCGTGCTAGTATTACTTGCTGCCACCCCTCGGCCAGGCGCATGCATCCAAGATGTCCATCCCATCGCGTCCGAGTCTCGTTGTCGCCGGGCTTCCTCATGGTAGATCCACTTCCATCTCTTAAATTGCCCCTCGCTCTAGAGCTTCTTCTCCCCAGCTCTGCGATCTAGAGAGGGTAGAGAGGACAGATAAGACAGATAGGATTGCAACTCGCGCTTCCTTTGCGCCGTGCCGCGACCTGAGTCGTGCCCCTCGGCCTTCGGTACATCTCTGGACTTGAATGGATCTAGATGCAGGTGGATGTTGGATCCACCGAATTAATGAGCACATCTTCCAAGGCGCGACTGGTGGATCGTTGCGTGTCTCCAACTTATATTCTTTCACGTTGCTCGCAGAGATTGCTTCTCGTGTACAATTTAGCGACCACGACGCCGCGGGTGAATAACGAGCACCCCGTCCTCCATGCGTCAGGGAGTATTTGGTTCATGCCACCCTCGTGATGACTCGGACAGGGGCGATTTGGGGTAAAACTGCTACGTCTCTTGTAGTCCATCGTCATCCATCGACCCTCGTCTCCGTTTTTCTTCTTGTTCCTCTCTCTCGTCTTCTTTTAATTTTCCTTTTGCCTTGGCTCCCTACCCCCTCCCTTCCTCCGCTCGAGGCTTGAGCTCCAATCCCTCCCATTCCCTCCCATTCCCTCCTAGACCCAGCCCCCACCCACCACTTCCACTAAAAGTTCCTTTTCGAGCAAAGCCCAACGACATCCCACCACGTTGATTGGCGCGGGAACAGCTACGACCCTAACCTTGTCAACGCGGAGACAGGCCAAGGGCCTCCACCATTTGGGGTTCGCCTCCCTGGGATCATGTCCCCACAGCTCCTTGGACATTCAACGGAGTTACCCACCCAGTGGAATAGTGGGCTGGTCACCGGCCGCAAGACGGACGAGGGAAAAAAGAAGAAAAAGAAAACAAAAGAAAAAGGAGGCTAGGAGCGCTGGGAGGGGATGGGCGCAAGGGAACAGGGATGAGGGGCACACGGAAGGTCAGGAGCGAGGGCGATTGGCGGGGCAAACTCGCTCGGGGGTTGAAGCACAGCCAAACGCGACGCAAAGTTCTGCTAGTCGGAACATTGAAGCATCAAAGGGGAAAAGAAGAGAACGATGACGAGGGGGTCCGCGGTCCGCTTTGGAACGGACTAGAAAGAGAAGACGCCAAAACGAGTATGTAAAAATCAACAAAGCGAGCTAGCCCTTCGATCCCCGTCGCAAAGCACTCGATGGGATTGGAGATTGGATGGAGGGGTTGTGGTGGACTGGAGATGTTGGACAGGATGAGGTCCGGATCGAAAAAAAAGTGGGTTACACATGCCTCGCCGACCTTGCTTGCACTGCGGAGCTGGGTTGGGGATGCTCTATAGACTACATACTGGATATATGATAGGATCCGCCGACATGAGGAGCAGGGTACATCCGAAGAAATGAAATGCAAAGATAAAAGTGCCGCCGTCTGCACTGTCGCGATCGACTTATTCTAACGCACGTACTTTATATATCCTTTTGCTCTGCAACACCAACTCTTCTTTTTTTTTCCCTTTCAAAATCCTGCTCCGCTTCTTCTCCCCTCACTCCCTACCCTTGTTCTCAGTTTCCTCTCTTCCCTCTGCTGCCTCGAAATATCCCGTCCCCCGATACTTGCCCGACACGTACACTTAGCCACTCGCTCCCAGGTCTCTTGTCAAAACGAGCTCTTGATTCTCTCTCTCTCTCTCTCTCTGCAAAAAGCACGAGAAAAACAAAAGGACCTGAAGCCAAAACCGATCCCTTCTAGACGAAGCGGGGATACCAAAGAAGGCAGCCAGTCTCAGTGCTCCTCGAGGCAGTTCTCCTCCCATTCCTGTGGGCAACCGAAAAAAGTTCCGTCGTTCACAAACACGCACACGGACACGCACACGCACCAAATCACACCATGAGCCCGGCCGCTATTTCCAACGGCGACAGCGCCACCGAGTCCAAGCCCGTCATCAGCGTGACGAAGCCCAACATCGGCGTGTACACGAACCCGGCCCACGACCTCTGGATAAGCCAGGCCGAGCCGTCCGTCGAGAGCGCCCAGACCGGCGCCGATCTAAAGGAGGGAGAGGTCACCGTCGCCATTAGGAGCACGGGCATTTGCGGGTAAGATGCTTCATGCTTCCAAAATAAAACTTCGGAGCTTTTACCCGCCATGAGCGTTGCTTTATATATTATCGCCGTATTAGTTTTGGCAGCTCTCTCCCCTTGGCACTTATTCTCCTCCGCCCATCTATTTCGCTATCCCTAGCTGTTCCCCTTATTCCATTTTACAGTTGCTGCTTTTTCACGATCTTCCAAATCACCCCCTTTCACCTTCATGCGCTGGGCCCCTAGAGCCAAGAAAAAAATCCCGCCCTTGGCTCCCGCTGCGATTTCTCGGCTCTTGAGGTGTGGGGGTGATGGCGGAGAATGCGGGTGGGCGGAATCGGGCATCATGCGAGCCCGTGTGCATATATCCCTTCTCTCCCATGCACCTCGAGATTTACAGCCTGCTACGCCCGCCCTCCCCTTTTGAAAAGTTTTTCTTTTTTTTTTTTTCTTCCTCCCGCAATGGATCCGAGTGGATACGGCCGTATGAAAACTGGAGAGGTCAAAGGAAAGCCTCGGTGGACCACGCGACTAACTATTACTCATCGCAATACAGATCCGATGTCCACTTTTGGCACGCCGGCTGCATCGGCCCCATGATCGTCGAGGGCGACCACATCCTCGGCCACGAGTCCGCCGGCGAAATCATCGCCGTGCACCCCTCCGTGACTGACCTCAAAGTCGGCGACCGCGTCGCCGTGGAGCTAACATCATCTGCGGCGCATGCGAGCCCTGCCTGACCGGCCGCTACAACGGCTGCGAAAAGGTCCTCTTCCTGTCTACCCCGCCCGTGCCGGGCCTCCTGCGCCGCTACGTCAACCACCCGGCCACATGGTGCTACAAGATTGGCAACATGTCGTACGAGGCCGGCGCTATGCTCGAGCCTCTCAGCGTGGCCCTCGCCGCGATCCAGAGGGCCGGCGTCAGGCTCGGTGACCCCGTTCTCATCTGCGGCGCCGGTCCCATCGGCCTCATCACGCTCTTGTGCTGCCGCGCCGCCGGTGCCTGCCCCATCGTCATCACCGATATCGACGAGGGCCGGCTCGCCTTCGCCAAGGAGATCTGCCCCTCCGTCACCACTCAAGGTTGACGTCTCCCTCAACGCCGAGGAGTCCGCGCAGAGGATCGTCCAGGCTTTTGGCGGCATCGAGCCGGCCGTGGCTATGGAGTGCACCGGCGTCGAGAGCAGCATCGCGACCGCGGTGTGGGCGGCCAAGTTTGGCGGCAAGGTCTTCATCATTGGTGTTGGTAAGAACGAGATCAAGTTCCCTTTTATGCGTGCCTCCACTCGTGAAGTCGATGTTCAACTCCAGTACCGCTACTGCAACACTTGGCCACGTGCCATCCGGCTCGTCGAGAGCGGCATCATCGACCTATCCAAGCTCGTCACCCATAGGTTTAGCCTTGACGACGCCCTCGAGGCCTTCAAGGTTGCCGCTGACCCCAAGACGGGTGCGATCAAGGTTCAGATCCAGAGCTTGGAATAAGGATCAAACCTTGACTTATAGGTAAACGCTAGTCCCTGGACAGGGGACGGCGGTGGCGGTGTAGAAAAGCGACGGAGGGCTTATCGAGGCGGTTCATACGGTTTGGGTGTGCAGGGATTTTGGGGGTTTTCTGTTAGTTATGGTGCTCACGACTTATCTTCCTGGCGTCCGATTTATATATATTTTCATGATTATATTGCATTTTCTCGCCCATTTTCGCATGAATACATACTATTTTTATAAGTTATATTTATTTCTCTATCCCAAGGTGAAGAGATATTAAAAACTCTTGGTGTCGTGGTTGTTAGTACCCATTGAACGAACCTCCTAGATTTATACAAGGAAAAAAAAAACGGGCAAGAAAAAGAAAAAAAAAAAAAGGAAAAAAGACGCTTATCGGTTACCAGCTGTGTACAGCTGTCCTTGTCTGATGAAATTCTTGCCGGGTGTCCACAGCCGAACAAAGCTTAGCCCGAATTCTACCGGAGGTCAGCCAATTCTCCAAGATCTTCCGAGGTCAGAACAGCTATTTTTTTCCCCTTCCGATCGATGAGAAAAACAGCAGCCGACTAACCCAGCGATTCACGGAGCCGCCAATCCCCTCCAAGCCCATCAATTGGTGTATCCACGACTCTCCTTCATCTTCCGGTTCTTTATTTCCGTCCTCCTTTCGTCCCTGAGGCCTTCTTTTCCGACACAATCGACAAAATGCTCGCCCGCTCGGCCGTCCGCGCCTCCGTGCGCCGAACCCCCTTCACTCCCGCCCGATTCCAGTCCACGACGACGGAAAAGGCCGCCGAGGCCGCCAAGGATACCGCGAGCAAGGCTGCGCAGGGCCTCTCGCGCGTCACCAGTGCCGCCGGCCCTGCCATCTCTGGCGCGGCAAAGGGTGTTGCCGGCGCCTTGGGCAAGGTTGGCGGAAGGACGGGCAAGGTCGTTGGCTTCGTTGAGAGTACGTTTTTGATCGACACCACCAAAGCAATTGCTCTTTTGTTTTGCGCTAGATGGGGATTGCTGGACACAACTAGAAACTCGAGTTTCTCAGCTTATCTCCTGTGATCCCTCGCGGGCCGACCGCTCCTCCGCATCATGAAATTGCCGCATCTCCGAAAGAGATTGGAAGCTAACGGTGTCCCTCATCCAGAGCAAGTTCCCTTCGTCGTCTACTACTCCAAGGTCGTTGCCGAAGTTTCTAGGATTGTTTTCAGGGGCCAGAAGATGAACCCTCCGTAAGTTGCGCACACCTCACTCTCTTATCATGTGCTCCACTTGTTCTATTATTCCGAGACAAGGGCGACGATGAGTGTCGACCACCAAGCTATTTAGTCCGTTCTAACCCCCTTTTAACTTCAGCTCCCCCGCCACCTTCCAGTCCTTCTACGAGTCCGCCTGGCAAAGCATCCGTCAACCCAACAAGATTGCCGACAGCGTTGCCCAGACCGTCAAGTCCGCCAGCCAGAAGCCCGCCGGCTACGTTCCCGGCCTCAGCAACGCCCAGCTCATTGCTGGTGGCGTCGTCTTCGCCGAGTGCCTTGGCTTCTTCACCGTCGGTGAAATCATCGGCCGCTTCAAGCTCGTTGGCTACCACGGCGAGGCCTCTGCTGCCCACCACTAAACTAGGAAGCCTAGGGATTTGGATGTGGTGATTTCGCAGGGGTTGAACGGAAAAGGAAGCTAAAAAGTTAAAGAGGGGTGTTCAGAGCAAAGAAACTCGCTACGAGTAGGCTTGTAATGGGCTAAAAAGGCTGGTCGTTGCGATATTTCTGTTATTTACCTCTTGTTCGAAGGAATGAGGATCATCCATATCCTCAGGAGACGCCCTTCGACCACGAAACTCGATTTCCTTTGTTACAGCTTCGTTGATACATATGGGGGAAAGGGGCTGGGGAATGGCACAACCTGGAATAGAGAAAGCAAGGGAGGAGGACGGAACCGGAGATGGGGCAGACCACCCCGCGAGAGCGCAGCAAGATGATAAGCCAACGGTGGCTTCCATCTCGTTTGCGATTCGAGAGGCAACACCACATCCTGGACTCCGATTCCTCCCCCGTCAACCTTTCATTGTGGTTTTAGTCTGTTGTTAGAGCCTGTACATCAGAATCAATACTTTTTTGTCCTTGGGCCAACCAAGGGTGTTATTTCTACCTATATGTTGTAGCTTTTTTGCTCGCTCCCATGTTACCCTTGTGCAACAGTTGAGGGCTCCCGCCAAGCGACCGCAAGCGACCGTGGCCCCATGTCCATCGCATCGTTCTCCCACTTCGACGCCCTATCGCGTATTCCCGACGCCACGAGCCGAGCTCTCCACGCTTCGCTGGCAGGGATCCACCCCGCTCCTGATGCAAAAACGGTGTGTTGTTGGTGATTGACTGGACCGGTTGTTTGCTGCTCCCTGCATCCGGCGACGCGGCCAACACTTTGACCGCGAACCAACAGCCCACCTTTAACCCGTGCCCCCTCCGCGCCCTTGCTTCTCCTCGCCTCACGACCGGCGCATGACCAAGATAACGCATTGGGTTTCTCAGGTTGGGGCGCGGTGCTTGAAAAATTGGGTAAGGCTACCACTGATGGAGCAACGTATTCACCCCTCTAGGAAGGGGGAATCTCCGCTCGCCGTTCAGATACCCCTACCATGATTCCTGCCACGTACCTTTCCCTCCTTAGTCCTAGGGGTGTGTGTGTGTGTGTGTGTGTGTGTGTGTGACGTTCACAAGGTGAAAAAGAAACCTATTTGGGCTGCTTTGTTCTTGGTCGCAGCCTCTTCTTCAATTCAAGTCCCTTCCACCAACAAGCCTGCGTTGTTCTATTCCCTTTCCCCTGCCCATCATCCCCCCTTCCCAGACTTCTTGATGTACGCCGGGCCGCTCTGCATCGATCCCTGAAAGGCCCTGGGCCTGGCCACAGCCCATCAATAATTGTTCCCCCATGTCTACATATCCCATCTCCTTGCGCGCGCCTACCAAACGGGGTGACGGCCCGTCCGAGAAACCCCGCAGGACAACGCTTTTTCTTCCTTTGTTTTTTTCTTTTCTTTTGCTTCCCTACTCTCCCCCTTTCATTCTCCTGCCTTGCCGCGTGCAGGTAGCCGTCCCCTCGTCGGCTCGGGCCAGCGTGGCATTGTACATTCGGCCGACCATCCCCCGCATAACAAACACACAAACAAGCAACCTCGGCGAAAAACACTGTCGAGCTAGCGAAATATATGGTGCATCTCTGATATCCTCAGAGCACGAATGGACTCCTACCCCCTTCCTCGCCGTGAAACATATCGTAAGAAGAGCGTCAGGATGCAAGAGACTATGTTGAGCATGGTATATGACCCTGTCAAGACCTCAATGCACATGTAGGGTTAGCGCGGGGTGTCTTCCCGCGGCAAGCAAGTTTGCGCAACATCAAATGATCCCATGTAACACCCACTTCTTCTTCTTCTTCTTCTTCTTCTCCCTACTTTGGACAGCTAGAAAACACAACGAGCGCCTAGCTTCAACATCAGCGACCCTGTCTCCCACCACGTCCCCAAGGTTAGCAAAGGTCTTCGACGTCGGTGCCAAGAACAATACTACTCGATTAAAAGCTTTGTCTTGTCGGGGCAGCCCGGCAGATGGACGTGTATGCGGCCCTGTATCAATGGCCGCGGCGCAGATCTGTCCCTGCACAAATTTCCAACAAGGATGACACCTACCGCCCGTGCATATTATCAGGCGTCTAACAAAACACCCATGACCTTGATGTCGATACGGTGAAACCCGGCCAGTTTGTGTGAAAGGGTGATTGTACCAAAGTACAATTCATCTGTTTTCAATCATGAAGCGCGCGCAGCCGTGTCACGCGGTAGCCATCCCTCACTTCGAGTCCCCTTGCATGTGTCGACCGAGACCTGTTGGCCGCTTCTCATCACCTCCGCTAGGGCCATCAACACAACGACAGGTTTCAGCCTAAGTATGCCTTTCAGCCTTTCGAAGCATGCTGGTGTTGTTGGTCCTAAATTGGTGTATTTTCCCTTTTGTTCCCCCGCGACCCTAGATTCTATATCGAAACAAGTCTCGCCCAACACTATATCCATCCAATGTTTGACAGCAAGCCGAGGAAAATCGCTCCTCACCAAGTCATTAGATACCCCCGTTCTCGTTCCCTCTCGCACCCTGTCCTGCCCCCAAAGAAAATGAGAAACAAAGGCCAAGAAAACTGAGAAAGGACAGTCTACCCGACACTTCATAAAATCTTGCCTGAGCCACTACACACAGGGAGTGGAAAGAAGAAAACCCGCTGAGCCATGATACGCCAGTCCAAACCATTGCAAACGAAGAAACAGAAATTGCCATGGCGGCTTTTCGCAAGGAACCCCAACTTTACTGCGGATGCTCCTCTTAGCTGGGCCTTGTCAGAACAAGTCCCCGAATTGGCATTCATAGGCTCTCGTAGTGCTATAAGATATGCAAAGAGGTTCGTATGTGACATGACAAGCAGGGATTCGGCTCTGCCCATATTTCGACCCTATCGGCCCTATCCCCAGGCTGGAGACTAGGAAAGCGAAGAAGGTTACCGGGCCGGCGAGCGCTTCTGCAGAAAAGGCCGTCCACAACGAAGCAGTTGCTTCCAACAGAAGAGATCAAGTGCTGCAGGTTGCCCCCGTCGAGTGTGTACTAGAACCGCTTTTGTAAAACAGAGCGTTCACCTGCAAACCGCCCACCAGGCGGGATTGGCTGGTCAAACATCCGTAGAGTGGGTGAGTTAATGCGTGAAATATACCTTGCCACGGTGTAGCGAACTTCCGACTGTGCTCCCTCTTGGGCAGCACCTCAAGACTCCGGTCGTCCAAATAGAGTCGTCGGTGACGACGCTCTAGAGCGCATTGTTAGGCATCTTTGGGGTCATTGACATGGCCCTTGGGCTCTTCACCATGCCCGGTAACTCCTTCACCCAGTTGTAAATGCGACCGCACGTGTGCTGCCTCCGCAATATACTAAACACCAGGAGGTACATGTAAAGGAATTGGTGGTGTCAATATCCCGCCGTGATAACAAGAGCCCGCCACAAGTCCCGTTCAGGACTGATGAAAGATGAAGAAAAGGAGGAGGGTTGAAAAGAAACAAAGAAATCGACTCTTAGTACCCGTTGAAGAAAAGAAAAACGCCATGCTTCTGCACTTTCTCCTTTAGTTTTGAATACCGACTGGAGCTATTGGCTATTTTTCCCACTGCCGCTGGTGCTTCCCGTCGCTATCGGGCTGCTCTTGGCATTGCTACTACCACCCTTGCTATTATCGTTGACTTGATTGCTACCGCCGGCGCTTCCAGCAGACTGGCCCGTTGGCCCTGTGTACTCGGCAGGTCGCCGCGCCGTCCAGATGTGGCTGTTGAAGAAGAAGCAGAATACCCCGAATTAGTAGGCCGTCACGGCACTCGCGTTGTATGATACAAGGACAAAAACTAGGAAGGACCGGCACTGGGGATGAAGACCGGGGAACATGGTTCTTACAGATTGCAATACCCGTGATGCCTCAATAGACAAGTTTCGTGTCTGACTTTGTCGACAAGCTCCTTCACCTCGCTCTCGCGCATGCCCAGAATCCGGGTTAGCGGCGCTAAACTTAGGCCTTCGAGACCAAACGTAAGCCCTAGGTTGAACCATCGACCTGTTTGTTCCGCATGACCGCCGCGGTTCCAGGGATTATGATAAATCTTGACAACCTTCTCCTCCACGTCGACATATCCAGCTTCAAGAAGGAGGTTTTTAGTGGCTGGGTTGACCCGAATCGGACGCTCAACTTTGTCCATCGCCTGATTGAGAAGATCGACCCATTTTTGAAGTGCGAGTCGCGGGGATAAGTGTCGTCGTCACACCGAGGGGTCCAGTCCAATTCAACAAACTCTATGTAGCCGGAGCCGGGAGCAAGATGCCTAGTTATGCCCTCGGTGAGTATGCGGGTACGCGAAACCTGGGAGATTATGTTTGAGAAACGTACTGGTAAATTTTTCGGTACAGGCCAGGCCAGTCCTTGATGGCACCGTTCAGCATGCGCATATATATCAAGTCCCAGCCATAATTGTCTATCTCCGCATCTGGGACTCCTTGTGCCTGGCGCTGCTTGGTCGCCCAATTGACAAACTGGTAAATCGGTTCCCAGGTGGACTCGATATTGACATGGCCACAGAACCAGGTATTTTTAGAATCCTTATTAATGTGAGCTATTACCCCTCAGGCCGCAAGATCTTGGGGCAGGGGTACGTACTCGCGTGGCTGAAGAAAATCATAGAAGTCAACCCCAAACACCAAGGTGTCAGGGTATTCCCTGGAGCGATCGGAGTCAGATGTCGCCCTAAAGGCCCTTTCCGGGTGCTCATGATAGCTTAGACTCACTCTGCCATCGACATAGGCCACAGCCCAGTCCCCGTTCCTAGGTCCAAGATTTGCCGAGGAGCCTTTCTTGCTGGCGACTGTGGGTCATCCTGTCTCTTTGGATCGGATCGGCGGCGGAAGGAACGGGGGCCGTGTATAGCTTGAGGTGCAAAGCCTCAAAGAAGGCATGATGGAAGATGTCGAGTTTGTCTTCCTCGAGCTAAAATAAGCCGTTAGTCATGTCCTGTAAGGGATTCTATGGGAAAGGCTATCAAAAGTACCTGGTCGACTGGGAAAATGTAGTCATAAAGCCATATTCCCGGCCATGCTCCGTGAAAACACGACGGGCCGGTTCCCTGCCAAGGAAAAATCAGTTAGATCCAGTTGACCTGTCGAGATTAACAAAAAGAAAAGGAAGGTTAAGCTGTGAGTGCAATGCGGGGGAACCATAACGTACGGAGCCTTTGACATGGCGCCTCGATAGGCTGATAGCGTCGTTTGTGGAGGTCAGTTCCGCGAGACTTGTTACAGCTGTCATAAAGTGCTGTGCTTGCTAGGGACCTGTGCAATTACAGCTTCGGTCAAGCAAGATCACCTAAAACGGAAAGCGGTGCCTGAGATATATTAGGTGCTGGTCGAAGACGCTTTCGATAACGCAGATGAGCTGAGAGCAGGACGAACAGATGTGAGAGAAGAGGTGAGTGGAGATGCTTGAGAGACGTTGCGTTACGCTTAGGAAAAAGAAGAAAAAAGAGGGAAAAATAAGAAGACTTCTTCCGGGTAGGTTATATGGCTAGGCGGAGTCGGGTCGCGACGGAATGCGCGGTTCACACAACGGCGTCGCAAATTGTGGCGGTCTCCTTGAGGCGGCCATGTACTCGAAGGCGCTTGACCATGGAAACCCGATGTGTGAAGTTAGCCGGCTGTCAAGCTGCACAATAAACGGCCGGGGCCCCAGGTCAACAACGCGAAACGCATGACGAGCGGGGCAGACGGCTAGAGGAGAATCGCGCCAGCTAGATGATGTGTAAATAGGTTACATGTACAGCATGCATTTCATCATGGGCACAATTGAGCACCGCCATTGCCCTACACCACCATGGCCCATGACTCGGCAAACTTGTCCGACTGGATAGGCACACGCCAGTTCTCTGCGAACTATGCGCCAAATGCAAGATGCATCGAGTGTTCTGTGGCCTCGACCTTGAGTAACCTCTTCGTCTTGCTGTGCGGAACCTGCAAGGAAGATCCCCCGCCCTCCCAGATGCACTTGCTTCTTTACTCTTCCTCTTCTGCTGTCTTGACCCATCTCCGTGACCCTTCCAAGGGGGAAATGGTGGAGAGGGGCGGGATTGAGACTGGGAACACCGAATTCCCGTCTACTCATGCTGTCTCATGGGTGCTCGAACACCGTGTCTCAGGGCCTTGAAGGCTGGCAGCTTTGAGTCGAGCCCTGCACCACTTGTGTGCAGGGAACTAGAGCCAATAGTATGCATGGCGACTACCCAATTGTGAAGGCCACGCCAGTATCAAGCGCGTGAAAAATCTGTTACACAACTTGGAGAAGGGTACGGGAATGTGGCACTGAGTCGGCGCCGAAGACACAGGTGGTGAGGTAAAGGACAGAGCCAAATATCTTGCTGTGCACCCTCTTGGGCCGTATGCATGGAGTGGGGACACGCGAGCCGGCCCCCTAGCTCTAAAGAAGATTATGAAGACCGAAGAAAATATGGGTTGACTTACAGGCCTTGAAGAGGCAAGGCGGACGACCCAAGGAGCGTTCTCGCGGATGGGGCGTCGCGTGGATGAGGGGTGGATAATAGGCCAATGTGGCAAGTACAATAGTACCAGAAAAGAACAACAGAAGCTTCTTTGGCGAGATCAGAAGGTCAGACGGTTCGGCGTTTGGCAAGGCTTTGAGATTGAGGTGGTGTTGAAGCTATCGACAGCACGTCGGGCTGAGCCGAGAAAAGATAGGGGAAAATAGGAAGGAGGGCTGAAGTGGATTGACAGCCTTCGCCAACCCAATGGTCGTAATGGTGGCGGTCGACTTAGTTGTTGGAGCTCGAGCGCGCCGCGGGTAAGGTGTATCCTCTAGCGCACAAGTTGGGGGTGGGGGCAGGAGACGTCAATAATATTTTTGAACGGTAGGCGAAAGCATTGGCTGAAGTTGGGGGCTGCGGACGGGATTTTGGGCTGCTGGGAAGGAGAAAGACGGGGAAGATGCCGAATTAAAGGGGCGAGACAGAGTGGGACTAAAAGGAAAAAAGACAGGTTGTTGACAGATTTTGGGGAGAGGTTTGGTGGTCAACGTATAGTTATATCCGTCGCAATGGTGACGGGAGACAAGGTTGAGAGCTGGCTGGTGGTTCCTAGGATGACTCTGGCAAAGTAGAGGTGAGCGCTAGGAGGACTGGCGGAAATTTTCAAGTCTCGCTCTAGCAGGTTTATTTCTTTGCTGGAGGAAACGAGAAGGGAAAGACGAATGGGGATGTGTCAATGTGTATGTGCAGAATGTGGGCGGGAGTACGTACCTCTTGGGGGAAGGTGCATCAGTTTTGGCTCGCCAGCTATTATTAAGGCCAGGCATTCGTTCAATCTCAAAAGAGCCCACCTGGAGCCGTCTTGCTTCACAAGATGATAGCACATCGAAGATATCCCACCTTGAAGGGGTCGAGATGACAAGGGACAAGAAATTCTGGGCCACCCCCAACCCCAACCCCAACCCCACCCCACTGCGTCGCTCTGGGGCACAGCAGTTTTGCGGAATGGTGGTGAAGATTGTATCCAACAGCATTTCTACAAGACCAAGGAGTTGGTGTGCGGAAAATGGTTCACAACCGAGAAGGCTGTGTGTCACCATTGTCATGGACAAGGGGGAAAGGCGGCATCCTGTCGAGTCCACGCATCGCACCCCTTGCTGGTAGGGCAGTCGTTCCACCCTTATGTTGGTGTCTCATGTGCGTGAAAGTCGAGGACGGATGCGGGTGCTGTGAACCAACAAGGCACGACGAATCGCTACCGCTGTGGGAACCGAAGAGTACCTGCGGAGCACACACTCCTTGGAGAACAGGCATCGGGGTTTGTCTTCAAGGTCAGGGTTCCCCCAGCAAGTACTTGAAGTGGGATTGCCAATCTCGACAGGCTAGTGTCCATGTCCCCTGGAAGGGTGAAGAGCCCGGGGTATCATTCGTTTCTATTTGGACGAGGTATCAACGATGTTTCATTCATTACCGAGCTCGGCCGGCATTCCCCTATATTACATTGTAGCAAGCTCTGCCGGACTTAACGTTGCTTCGAGGCCTTTTTTTCTTCTCGTCTTTGGACTCACTGCCAATGCTTGCTTGCCCTTGCCCTTGCCAGCCATCCACCAGTCCACCAACTTGTGGAAATGGCTATTAGCATTGCTGTTACTTGAGGATGGGGCTGTCATCGCCCTAACCCTCACCCTCACCCTCACCCTCGTGGTTTGGCTGAGGAGTGGTCAAACCTCTGATTAACCAAGCAAGGTTCATCGTGACTACCGATGAGCGACAGACCTTTAGGGGACTCTGGAAGCCCAGCCTCGGCCAGCAACAAGTCACACTAGGGTTGGAGGGAACCCTAAACCAGCTGGCGTCGATCATGATCTAGGACTTGATGGGAGGGAGGGGGAAGAGGAAACAGGCCGTGCCTCGGTGGAGCAGGCGCCTTTCTTCTTCTTTTTTCTTTTCTTTCTCTCTCTTTAGCACTCATTTTGACATCCTGCTTGACACGCTTGCTGCGCGTCACTTGGAACACCAGGGCGCTGTCAGATCTGGGCTCAAAGATACGGGCAGCTCTGGATGATTGATAGTTTGGCAGCCGTTGAGGTATTAAAACAACCAAGACAACTTGACCCACTATTAGTTCGACCACTGGTCTGGCGGATGTGATATGCTTACCCCGCCCTCTACGGCACGCAGCCATTCATCGATCAAACGCCCGAGGGATCCATCATCAGCCGCCTCAACAGCATCGGATCCAATCGAGGATCGGCAGGCAACCCAGCGACTGAGAAAGGACGAGCAATTGAGAAGCACAATGGGCAACGCGATGGTATGAAAATTTCCTCCATAACCTAGTCAAGGAGCGGATGTCGGGAGTACACGCAATGGACCCAATCGATGGATTTTGTGTGTGAAGGGTTGCGACTGGCTGAACCCTGCTCTCATGCATTTCTGGGGTTCATGGGGGCCAGGGAAGCCCCAAAAAATTGGACTGGCTCAATTGATCTTGAGCCAAGGGACCAGCCCGCTTGGCTCCCCCAAAGGGCACGATGGCGCTTCAGCAGGAGATCACAGAAATATCGAGCACAAACATTGAAAACCCCCACACCTTCAGTTTCCTTGCTCCCTCGAATATTAGAGCATTAGCGCGCAATTTCGATCCTTTTGGGTATTCAAAAGAGTACATTCGGTCAGCGCGCAGGAACAAAAGTGTGAGGTCATACGTTCTATAATACACATCCCGACCACAATCACATCAGAGCCGGAAGTCTTGAGATGTTGGGCAGTCGGTATCCAGCCGCCCGGCAGCCAATGCATCGCGTTTACGGGACAGTGTGACGCACGGCATTCTGTTTGGTCAAGTGAGCGGGCGCCAGCATCAATCATTTGATGAATGCGAGGTCTCGGTGGGTTTAGAAAGGCAAAGATGTCTGGTGTGTGGAAGTGTGAAAACTCATCTCTGCATAGTAGATGCACCACCTTTCTCCTGCCGTAACCCACCAGCTCAATCTTGACCTCCTCTAGGAGGATATGCTTCCGATTTGATGGACAGGAGAAAGCCCTTGACGAAATGATCCTCGATTCAATTGATGGATGGGTGCAAGTCCAAATGTTCAATGTGTTTGGGGCACAGTGTTCAAACAATCACCCCCTCCGCCCGCCGAAATCAACAGTGAGATCAACCATGGGCCTACCCTATAACACGGATCGCTATAGGGCGTCCAATTTCCAATCGAGCGTATCAACAACAAATCCGCCGCAGCGCCCCTTCATCGATGGGACAATTGATCAATTAATGGGGTGCCCACCAACTTCCAGGATCAATCTCGTCACCGCCTCTCTGCCAGGGTTCGACCTAACCAGTGGAAAGGGCGAAGCAGGAAACTAATTCGAATTGGCCTAAGCTGCATGTCAGGATCCTCCGTTCGCTAGTGCGGGCGCGGGTGTGAAGCGATCTTTCGACCATTCCTGAAGACGGATATTAATACAGGAAACGAAACTCGGGTACACGGCGGAGGGCTTGTTCATTCAAGCACCCTCCAAGGGTTTTTGGAGGTCAGCACCTGGACTTGCTACCTTGTTTGTCGAGAACCTCCCTTCCCTCCAACCCAAGCAGCCACTCGGGAAACCCCTTTGCGTTGAAAGAAAAGAACCATGGCAATAAAAACAAGCGACGCCGGGCTGAGGAAAGGATTGACAAGCTCGCGAATATTCTTGATTATTTTCTTTTTCTTCTTCTTGTTTTCTCCCTTTCTTAGCCCGTCAAGGTATTCAAATTATCAAAGGTATC